GTTGGTAAAAAAGTGGAACAATATGTCACAAATAATTTTTGACCATAAGCTTCTTAAATTTTAAAGCAAATTAGTTAATGTTTGAGATTATTTTTGAATGTTGCCCTCTAAGAGAGAAACAATGCACTTTTGTATAAAGGTTATATCCTAAATTATGTCCAATTAATTTATTTTGATATCAAAAATTCGTAGTAGTTCTATGTCCACTGAATATTGGGACACTGTACACTGTATTATCTGAATATTTATAAATGAGATTATATCGCAATAAAATGAATAATTCATTAGCCAACCGCCTGTAAATTAGCGAGTATGTTAGTAAGGAACCTTTACGAACACAAACACAATGGAATAGAAAAAAAGCAAATAATAAAAATAAAAACAAATACTAACCCTTGGTGCTCTGGCCGTTGAGCAGCTTCGATTTTTTCGTTTTTTGTTACATCTATAGTAGCACTAAATCGATTTAAAGATTGTGTTGCTGCTGCAGTGGTCTCGCTTCTCGCAGCCCGGCCACTGCAGGACCGACAGGTTGACATTAGCGAGTGCGGTTCCTTCAGCGTGGACAACCGTTACAAGGATTATGCCAACAATTTGATGCGGCCAAACATCAAAAAGGTGCCCATCGGTCTCCCGGATCGGACAGCCAGCCAGAGACACCCGCAAGACCGGTGTCCTTTTTATTTAGAACACAACTTAATGGCGTATTCATTGGCACTCTGTTTGTTTAGGTTAAGATTTTTAGTCATTTTATTGCCAGTGCCGAATACGCCGAGCCTGCTTGTGCCTCTGAAACAGAAAAAAGGATGCCCAGACTGATTAAGGGTGTTTGAGAGGATATATTTATACATTTTATGCGCCTTTTACAAATTACTAATCGCTTTTAATATCGTGACGTACACGTTGAGGTTATATGCTTTCTTTCCAACGATTATTTAACTAGAGTGGTCTGAGAAGTTTCCAACAACTACTTGAAGGTGATAGCACAAAACAAGTATTTTGACAAGTACCAAAGTAAAATGCCAAACACTTACGTATACAGGCTGTCCCAGGCTGAGCGTGCATTAGAAGTTTCTAGAGAACTATAACATCTAGCTCGGAGATTTTTTGCACATCATAGTTTCACAATGAGATCTATCAATTAAAAATATTTTCAATATGGCGGCACTTCCGGAAATACCGGAAGTTGACAGCAACTTTCTTATTTTAAATAGGTGCCCCCATTTTTTATTAGATACTTAAATTCTCTGTAAAATTTTATGAATTTTGATATCAAACACTCTATACCGAACATTGACCGTTTTTGAGAAAAAAAATATTTAAAATTTTTGAACGAAAAAAACCTGCCTGTCAAAAATATGTGTATAACCTAAACGTCAAATTTAGTGACTACCACATCCACTGTGCCATAAAGAGAAAACATGTGGCTATCTATTAACAAAAATTAAATTGTTCGAATGTCACATAATAATGGCCGCAGCTGTCAGAGAATTAAGAGATTAAAAAATTATCATAAATCATTTTTTTCAAATGGAAAACCCCTTTTTTATTTCACTGCTGAAAAGGCTCTTCAATTCATTACTTTTTGACTATACATGTTCCTGTACCTAAAATAAACCGTTTTTAAGTTATTTAAGATTAGTTTTAGAGCGTATATTTTTCTTGATTTTAACCAGTAGCCTATGACTTTAAACGTCAAGTGATGTAAAACAATAGATCTGGTCATGTTATATTGTGACGTTTTGTTCAAAAAGCAGCATCATTTCCGAGTCAACTTTGCGCTTTTTTTCGATCATACGCAATATTATTAATAATATCAAGTATTATGTAATGTAATAACATTAAAAAGCAAAAATACGATATATATTATTATAAATGCACTTTTTAAACTCTTAAGCAAGCAGTATTTATAATATAGAAAATTCAAATAATTCGTTTTCTGACAGATGGAAATAAATTGTCTAACCGTCTGACACACAATGTCAAAGGAAGCTAAATAAAATCAAGAAAAATATACGTTTTCAAATTAAATCTCAAATAACTTAAAAACGATGTTTTAGGTATAGGAACATGTATAGTCAAAAAGAGTAACGAATTGAAAAACCTTTTCATTAGTGAAATAAAAAGTGTTATGTATGGTATCCATTTTAAAAAAATGATTTATGATAGTTTTTTAATCGCTCAATTCCATGACAGCTACCGCCATTATTATATGACATTTGAACAATTTAATTTTTGAAATAAATAGCCACATGTCTTCTCTTTGTCACAGTGGCTGTGGTAATCACTAAATTTGTCTTTTAGGCTATACAATTTTTTTTGACAGATAGTTTTTTTCGTCCAAAAATTTTAATTTTTTTTCCTCAAAAACGGTTCTTAGGTATAGAGTGTTTAATATGAAAATTCATAAAATGTTACATAGAATTTAAGTATGTAATAAAAAAGGGGGCACCCATTTAAAATAAGAAAGTTGCTGTCCACTTCCGGTACTTCCGGAAGTGCTACCATATTGAAAATATTTTTAATCGATAGATCTCGTTATGAAATAATGATGTGCAAAAAATCTCCGGTCTAGATATTGTAGTTCTCTAGAAACTTCTAATGCACGCTCAGCCTGGGACACCCTGTATAATAGTCCCAAAACATTTTCCGCTGCACGTCATCAATCATATCGACATTCACACTAAAGTTTATAAACTTGACTAAATAAGATTTTTTGAAAAAATATTTAAATTTGTTGTATAATTTAAGATATCGAGCAGCTCTTTATTTTACTTTATAGCAAATGATTTAACAGATATTTTATTTAGATTAAAGCTGCAAAAATTAGTTTAAACCGAATTTTATTGTCGCTATGGTGGTCACATTGCGCCGTGTTCAGCAATGTGGTCCTGTATTATTTGACAGTTATCCTAGTGTTAGTCATTATTTTGTATAATATCGTGTTGTTGAATCTTTGTGAGTAATTCTGTTTTTTTGCCTATTTTTATAGTTTTTCTTAAATTTGAACTTTTAAGCACAAAAAGTTCTTTTAAGAACTAAAAAATAATTTTTGGATTGTATCAAATAAAAGTAAAGGACATTCCAGCGAAAAAGTGTACACTAGTTTGAAAAGTTCTGCAAATAATAAACGTAAAAATAACTTGGGGACTAATTTGCACTAATCATTTGGAAATGTAAAATATTCAAGCATGACTGTGGATGGAAGAATTGCTCAATTATCCATCTTACCCGCCGGATGCAGATCCAGGAAAAAAAAATGTTCAATAAAGAAAGTAATTATAATTTTGCACAGAAAAATTTGCTAAACAGTGCTACTTGAAGGCTACCGATATAGAAAGACTCAATATAGAAAAGAAATCAGTATCTTTTCTGTCCCAGAAACTTCTCAGAACACCATATTGTGTTGGATGATAAAATAACGTCGTTTGAATGAATCAGTTTGTTTAAAATTGTCTAAAACATCTTCGTTATCCGTACTGTCATTTAATTAAAATCCATATTTTTATTTACTATAGTTAAAAACAGTTTTTGTTCTTAAGTCTCTATTTTGATGTTCTCCAGCACTGCAGCTTCTGTTAATGTATGTATGTTAAATATCTCTTTTAAAAAAGAATGAATTGGTAAAACAGACAAGTTTTACATGGTAAAAATTAAGTAAGATTGTATTTTTGAAGTGAAACTTCTTTACGCGCACTGGGAGTAAAAATTCAAGGCCGTGACACGACAAGCGACACGACAGGCGAGAGGAGAAGTGGAAAGGACAGCCTACGGCTTAGACAAAATCATTCGATTTAAATGAAATTTACTATGTCGATAGATTGGACCAAGGCCAACTTGACCGTGTACGACACGTGTTACTGTGGCAGTTAGTTCTGACGTAAGAAACGTCAAAAGTTGATGTCGTCCGATCGCGACCAAATTTGGTTAGTAGGATATGTGAGAGACGATGCACACGGTCCCACCCTGCAAAGTTAGATGCAACGTTTCGTTTATATCTTTATCAGGGTGGGACTAAGGATTTGATATTGAAGAAAAATGTGGGTCAATTTCTGCATAATTGGGGACGGGCTACTGGATGACACCCTCGACGTTTCGAACCGATGCTACTAAATGAAATCATCAGGATTTTTCTTAATGGGTCGATTGGAACCAAACTCGGTACGTGGATAGAGGTACCCGAATGGAGTCCTCAAACGGATACACGGCCATTTTATTAAACATATTTTACAAATTTTCTGAAAGTGAATCAAATTATTTATTAATTTTAAATTTAATTATTTTTCAACATTTCAAACGTATCCTTCAAATCCTTCAATTTAATAGCTGTTAGTAAGAAGTTTCACTTCAAATATGCGCACATAGAGCACACATTTTTTTTTCTTAAAAGACAATACAGTAAATTAGAAATGTGTGAAAATAGAGAAATATTTTGTAACAACTTCATAATTCAAATTTCATAATTTTAGCTGTCATAAGTTGTAACAATATGTGAAGTTCTGAGTACATTTATTTCCCAAGGATTGGAATAAAAAGTACGTTTTACAAGTAATTCATAGTGGCCAACTTTCCAACACTTTATAACAATTTCCCTCAACCATGATTTCCTTATATGTATTTTTTCTTCAACTGTTCCCAAGTTACAGCTGATATCTTCTATTACTGGACCACCCTGTAGACTAGTGCAAAAAGTTGTACAATAAGAAATTGTATTTCTTGAATATCCAAAGTAAAAATTAATGTTCTGATCTTAATTTGCAACAGCACTGGAAAATATATGTCATAAATTGATACACAAAAGCTTGTTTTTACGATAAACTCGATTTTCATCTAATCAAAATAACTAACTTTTAAAAGGAATGAAGTTAGAACGCTAGTTTTTTATATGTTGTACTCAAACCTACGGAGAGACAAAACAAACCAGTCTGGTAGATCCTGGAATGCTACTATAGTGCCGAAGTAGATCGTCGAGTATGTTTAAAAAGCGTGGTTGTTCATACCTAGACCTCGAGCTGCCACATCCGTGGCAACGAGGATAGTTGATTTTCCTGTTCTGAAATCCTTGAGAACAAAGTCACGTTCTTGCTGGCTCTTGTCCCCGTGCATGCACAACGCGGGCCAACCGTAACGCTGGATGTTACGAGTGATCAGCTCCACCTTTCTCTTGGTTTCTACGAAAATTATTATTTTGGCGCCCGCCTCGGAATTATTGCCGATTTCCTGCAGCAATTGGTTGAGTCTGAAACCGAAATAAATAATTAATTTAGCTATTTAGCACGTGTCCGCTCAACCGCCAAGAGAAAAAAACCAGTATGATCATATTTTCATATTAAACAGTGTTTAATAAACACCCTATACACTATACCCGAAATGTTTCATGAAATATTTCTGAAAATATTTGTGTTTTTTTGGGAAACTTTTCGTAAAGCATTTCTCGAAATACTTTCAGAAGTAAACTCAATGCTGTTCTTATGTTGCGGAGAAGCTTGGCTTGTAAGCGGTGATAATTTTTTTTGTTACTGGAATTGTCTCAGTTTCGAAAAATTTTTTTTAAAAAGCGTCTATAATCTTCGTACTACTTTGCAAAGTAATCAAAGTCAACCTCTATAGTGGCTTTAGAAAAATAGGTAAATATGGAGTATGATTAAATATCATTAGTTTGCACTGATATGGAAAATCAAAAACAGTGCATTTATAAAACAGTTACCGATGGTAGATTATGTTGACTATTCCTCTAAGGTTGCACAAGAATATTTAGTTTTAATCATTGTCTAATATTATTAATTCCCATATAGTAAAAAATATATTTCCAAAACTTAAAATCGTAAAACTGCAGGGCAACAGTGACTAACTGTTCTGGCGGTCTGCCTTTTATCGGCTTATCTACGGTGTTAAACTGTTTAGAAAATCGTCTAATTATTTTTTATTCTTGAATGGATTTATATTAAACCATGTTGGATACTAACAAAAGTATCGTTTACAGCTTTCTCTTAAAAACAATAAGAGAACAACTTTTTTAAAATGTCCGTGGACCAAACTTTTGTTGCCATCAGGTCAATCAATCATTTTCCCAATTAGCTTGACCATATTGATGATGTTACCAATATTACTCATCAAGCAATACTACTGTTATATTAATCCATTAAGGCCGCGTAAGTACACATTACATATACAATTTTAAATATTAATTCAGTAGATTAAGTGTGAAAAGTTTTGTTCTTAAATATCTACTTTACATATTATAAACGTGTTCAAATATTAATTTTCTGGAATATAATATCAACATATAAAACGAGATGTAATTAAAGAAATATCGTAAAAACAGATATTTTAGAAGCATCTAGGTTTACTTATTTGAAAAAAAAGTCCTTTGCCTCGGGTATAGATACCGACACGTTTTGGAAACAGTTCGAAACAAAACGAAATTGAACGTCAACAGGAAACGCCAAAAAATCCTCCCGCACCCTTCTCCGCAACATCACGAGTAGTTATAGGCAAAAAGGCGTTGCCTACCCCAGGCAATATCATACAATCTGGTTTTTTATATCACTACATTACAACTTATTACTAATCCAACAAATACTCGCATTAAGCATCTTTTATAAAAAATTTATTCTAGAGATTACATAAGATATATTAAAATAATTTTCGACAACTGCGTTATTGCGCAATTCCCACATAAAATTTCCAATAAAGTTCAAATATGATTTAGGCAAAGGGGGATTAATTTAATTTGTATTGTCTCCATTGGGATGGTAAAGGTTGCGCGCCTTGTCAAATGTCTAAACGGGAAATAGTTTCGTGAGAAGAACTATAACTTGGCATATCATTAAAATGTATGAACTAATTGAATGTAAGGTTATGTCTATTAAAAATAACGCTTATTCAATTAGATCAATTTCCTTTAGCACAATTCCCACACCTAATCAAACAATCTTTCATTTGATTAAGCTCTAATATGTGCAAATATGAATATTATCTAAAAAATATTCAACATCCAAAAAATACACATCTTGGACTTCTTTAATCATCGTTCTTTGTGAATGATAAAATTAGATGAATGAAATAAATATGTCTAAAATAAAGAGCTAGATATTCAAAACGAAAACTTACTTGAACTCCTTTTCGTGTTCCTGACACACGTCGACAATCTGAAGAATGTTATGGTTAGCAGACAGCTGCATCGACCCGATATTAATAGTCACGAAGTTATTCATGAAATCCGACGCCAGCTTCCTCACTTCCTTTGGCCACGTCGCCGACCACATCAGCGTCTGCCTGTCCGGCCTGATCTGCTCAATAATCTTTCTGATCTGAGGCTCGAAACCCATGTCCAACATCCGATCGGCTTCGTCCAGAACCAAATAGGTGCACCTGGCAAGGTTTGTAGTTCCCTTCTGAAGGAAATCAATCAACCTGCCCGGAGTGGCGATGCAAATCTCCACGCCCTTTTCCAGATCCCATTTTTGGGGATTTTTTGGAGCTCCGCCGAAGATGCAGGTGTTGCGCGTGTAGGAGGACCGGCCGAAATCGGTGGCCACTTGCTGAATTTGCTGAGCCAGCTCTCTGGTGGGGGCCAGGATGAGCGCGATGGGGCCATCGCCGGGACTGAGACGAGGTTGGTTATTGATGTGCACGATGGCAGGGAGGATGTAGGCTAGTGTTTTTCCCGATCCGGTTTGAGCTATTCCAACTAGGTCGCGACCGCTCAGAGCGATTGGCCAGCCTTGCGCTTGGATTGGAGTAGGAGCATCATAACCTAAGAAATTAAAAAATATGCAATCAGAACGAATAATAAGTAATACGTTCACGTTTAGAGAATGCATTAAAATCTGTCCAATGAGACATGATAGTGACAGTTGTGTCTGTCATTTTAATTCAGACAAATTGAGTTTTTTATTATAGTCAGACTATACCATAATAGCAGCATGTATAAAATTTTTATTTTTTAATTGTTCTTTACAGATAATAAAATTAAGATAATCAAAAAATGTTTACCGGGTCGGCATCTCTGGCTTTGGGTGCCGATTTTCGTGTGTACAAAGTAAATGTCAATACGATCAGTACAGTAAGAGGTACTGAATAAAGAAATAAGAGCAAGTATTTTCCCAAGGGCATGAAATACAGCGCCAGAAGTATTATTTATATCAGCGTCGGATTAAGTGGTTATGTAATAAATAATATATTCGCATTTTTCTCTCTCCAACTTACAAGGTCGCCATAGCGATTCACTCCTACACATGTAAATACCGACCCAAGACTTCTGTTGCCAATATGGTATATAAAGTAGTATTATATTTTTATATAATTTTCAATTTTTATTTATTCAAATCTATTCCGAATTTAGGAAATCAATATAATGTCTGGCCTAATTGAAACTAAGGTTAATCCAATAGAAATAACTGCTATTCAATTAAGTCAATTTTCTATGGCACAATTCCGACACCTAATCAAACAATATTACATTTGATTAAGCTCTAATATGTGCAAATCCAGTATTACATTAATATGATATTGTAACTGCAGTGGAGACTCGCTAATCTGAAACCCCGTAATCCGGATCTCCCTGTAATCCAGACAAAAAATGAAATATTGCACTTTAACATTAGGTACCTTGAAGTGGTGGGAAAAATCGGATGAATTCAGTCCTCGAGTATTGATCCTCGAGGATTCCAATAATCGGATGATCATCCGAGGAATCCTCGGTCATAAAATTTTCTCTGTATAATCTGATCGAAACCTGAATAATACTCGCCGCTGGGTGTGAGTGATTTTGCTTGCTGTTTTTAACACACTGTTGCCATGTACTTCAATGACTTAAATAATATTGTAATAAAAATAAATACTAATTATTTTAAACACTTTTTTAATCATTTTTAATATGTTCGTGTATAATTTCATGTGGGAAATAAAATTTTCATAGGTTTTGCTTTAAATTGTGCTGCTTTTATTTCTTTAACTCCGACTTTGAGGCTAATCTGGCAACCTTTCAGCACACTTTCAGGCCAAATGAAACCAAGTAATCCTAGGAAATACGTGCGGCTTTTTAAAAAGGGCTCGTTATTTATTGTTTATTTGTCGGCGGTCGGTCATTGAGATAAAAAAAATATTTTGTTTTACTTTTTAATAGCGTAGTTTCACCGAAAATAAACTGTAGTACCTAGAATTTTTTTAGAATTTAGAATGAGTGGGAGGGGGGTTAATCACTTCGACCTTACAGATCCATTGTGTCCCCCTTTCTTGAATCATAACTCATCATACAGTCCCAGGGCTTTGACAAAAGCCAGTATCTGGGACGGTTCTATAGAGGGTAGTTCTCCATCTCCAATATCAGTCGTACCAAAATTCATGGCACGAATGGTTGTCGTCTCGGCGCACTCAGTGATGAGGTGTACTGGTGTTTCCCCATCTTCCCCACAGAATCTGCATTCGCCGTTTCTTCTTAGTTTCAATCTACTGAGGTGTTCATTGAGGAGACAGTGTCCTGTTAAAAACCCCGTGACAATCCGAAGATTGTTCTTACTCAGACCCAGGAAGATCTGTGATTTTTCTTGATCATAAGCCCTCAGAAACTTCTTCGAGTGTCCTAGACCATTGCAAGATTTCCATTCCAGGTTGCGGATGGAATCTTCCAAGTTCTTGAGTTCCGCCTTGAGTTGGTTACCACTTGGACTGTAGTACCTAATAAATTGTAGTAGTATTGTGTTATTGTGCATATTTTAAGTTTTTGTGTGACACAATATCCAGTTTTAAAATTGAATTTACCAACTGTATTGTTTGGCACAGCTTAACAAATAATCGAAAAAAAATTGTTATCTAATGATGATTGTTTCTGATTTTCAACCTCTCTCTCTCTCTTGTAAACCCTCATAATAGAAAAATATTAACTAATAAAATTTTACTTCAGGCCTTAAGGCTTACAACGAGTCAGCTGTCGCTTTTTAAACAGTTTTTTTTTAAAACTGTTTAAAAAAAAATTAAATAAAATATACAGCAATATTGTTATTGTTCTTGTTGGCAAATTCCGCAAATCATTCACTTTATATCTACGTTCCATCACACTATATTTCGATTACACTTTCATTAGAATATAGTCTCCCAGCGTACAACTACAAGCAAAAATTACATGGTATTTTCTTATTGAGAATATTTATATACATATACATATATCGTCCCCTATCATACGTGCTGGCGTCACTCGCACTTAATAAATTTGTGTGAAAGTAAAAAAAAGAGTAAAAAAAGAGGGAAGAAAATAAAAAATTACCTGTATTAAACTTGTAATTTTTGTAAGATACATCGAATCCAAATACTTTCACGGCCTTGATAGATACAGTTACAGCACTTCATGATAAAAGTTGTGCCTGTAGGCAACTCTCAAATGGAGTAACTCATTTTTTCGATTTTTCAGTTACGACTTTACATGAGATAGGGGACACTATATTCATAATTATTTTTCATTTTTGTAGGAATAATATGTTTGACAGCTTAAATGGTCATTTTTTTATGTTTGATCCGAATCAGCGAGTCTCCACTGTATATCAAAAATATTTTTAATAATGTTAGAATTGGAGACAATAAGAAAAATACATCACATACAAATAAAACAATTGTCTCACCTTGATTTCTTACTTCCTGCATGACGTAGTCCGGAAAGCAGGCTTCATCGAAATTTTGAATCGGATTTGGAACGTCCCCGTCCACGGTGATCTCTTTGGCTTGGCGGTACGCGTCCACTTCGTAAGGGGATCGACTGCTTACAGCAGGGTGAGGCACGTAGAAGTCCTTCTTTATAGGGCGTAGCGAGTTCATATCCCATTGGGGCTTGCGTAATCCGCGACCTGGGCCGCCCCCGCCTCCTCCTCGGCCCCCAAATCTTCCACCGCCGCCCGATCCACCTCCGCCGCTTCGAAAACCACCGCCCCCGCCACCTCCACCGCTACGGAATCCGCCACCGCCTCCTCCGGAGTTACGGAATCCACCGCCTCCCCCACCTCCGCCGTTACGGAACCCACCGCCACCGCTACCGCCTCCTCCTCCACCGCCGCTACGGAATCCTCCGCTTCCTCCTCCCCCTCCTCCGCTTCTTGGGCCGCCAAAACCACGACCTCCGCCGCCACCTCCGCCCCCGGAGAAGCTTTCGCGACTGCCTCGGAATCCGCCACCACCTTGACCTCCGTAAGACCTTCAAATGAAATTAAATATAGAAATAATTTCTATCTTCAGAACTGACTGGGAGTAGAGAGGGACTTGGAAACTGGTATTTTTATTTAAAAAAAATATTGCTAACAAAATTAAATAAAAAGCTCTATAAAGAGTGCTCCGAATTGTACTCGGATATCTTGGACAGCATAGGGTGAATATGCCAGTTGTCGGACAAACACCAGTGGTCGGAAAAACGTACCTATTTATTGGAAAATAAGTAGAGATGAGCAAGAATGGACTAATGGAAGCATGGTTTTATGAACTGCGTTGGTATCGTTTAAATTAAAATAAAAATAATAAATTATATATATTACCTATTTTTTTATTAAGTATTATTACTATTGATTAATATTACTATTTGGCCAACCTAAAACAATTCCAAATAAAAAAATAATGGTACCTATTTAAGATAATTACAAAAAAACGAATTTTAAAAAGTTTTAACATCCTGTAACTCTAAAACTATGCATTTCCATACCCATTTTTATAGGAACTTTTTTTCATATAAAATCGACAAGATATCAAGAGACAACTTTTAATCGGCATTAAACTGCTTACACTATTTCGCTAACAAGAGAAAAAAGTCAGTGGCGTACATTTTTTAGAAAAATATTCCAGTAATAACCCATATCGTCGGTGAAATGTGATAAACTGCTAACTCCATTATTCCTAATTTTACAGGAGAGCAAAAAAACCGTACAAAAAAATATGTACACATCTAGGAAGCATTTTCATGCGTTAATATGATAAAGAGATAAGAATTGTATTTGCTGGGGAACAATATAACTCAATATTTCGTGTTACATCATTTTTTTTTCAGACAATATGGAGATAGCAGATATTCGTCTTGGAGGAATAAGAAATAAAAATATACTTCTGGAGATAGCAACCTTTAGTGTTTGAAATTTTGAAAATGGAATTGAATATTACCCAAACAGATTTAGAAATAATCAATTAAATTTAAAAAATATGATATTCATAACCATATATCGTCGGTCTAGAAGCAAAACATACAAGTCCAAAAACAAATAAATTTTTAATGCATTTTTAAAGAACTGAAGTAGCAGCATTTTGGACTTAATGAATATGAAAATAATTTAAAAATTAAACTTATAATTCTTATAAGATATGGTAGAATCCTTCCATGCTTATCCTAATTTTTATACAACGGTAGTAGACGGAGCTTGGAAAACAGTGCGTGATTTTATTAAATTTTTATTACTTTTCTCCTTATTTTTTTAATTTTTATAAAAATTATGTATCATTTACGTGGAAAAACGTTGAAAAAAATCAAACTGATTAGGTATTATGGAAATTCTTGTACAAGTAAGTAATGGTTATTTAAACTATTTATAGCACGCCGACGAATTGCTCGTATATAGAGAATTTCCTTTTTCCCCTTACCCTTTACGGATACCCCGTATTTACAGAACGAATCGACGCAGGGTCGGACTGATCATATTATATATATATATATAACTATTAGGGGTGCCCCAGGTCTTCGCGGGCCCCCTTTATAGTTCATTATTTATTCTTAACAATATTTGCTTTTGCATTGCATTATGGCATTTGCATTGCATTGGTTTGCCTTGCATTAGGTTAGTTCCCTGATTTCTATACAGGGTGAGTCTTAAATAAGTGCAAATATTTTCAGGGCTGGTAAATCTCATTAAAAGAAACATAATATTTTCTCTTTACCTTTTTTTCAAATAAATCCAAAACAAACGAGTTACTTCACTTTTAAAATTTCCAATGTTTTGCTATAATTTTGAGAATCATTGGATTTTCTTTCTTGTAAATTTAATCTACTACCTATGTTGCCATATTACAAAGTATGTTTTTATACTAAAAATTAAAAAAGAATTCAAATTTAAAAAAAAAATTCGCGCAAAAAACCTCATAATCGTGTTTCTTGGGTCGAAATATACTACCCCTAAAAATATTTGTACTTATTTAAGACTCACCCTGTATATAATAGGAAAAAATTAACCAAAACGTAAGGCGAAAAAATACGCAAAATAAATCCACACGGGCTCCTCCTTACATTGCCACCCGGGCCCCTTTGGCCTAGCGCGTCCCTGGATCGACATACTGTACTAAAGGAACATACGAATAAGAATCCGTGTGTTTGCTTTATCGTGATCGTAACGGAAATTACGGAGATAGCAGCATTTCGGTGGCTATTTCAGATCACTGGGAGTTAGCAGATATTATTGAGTTAAAATAACAAACTTTCTTTAATGGGAAAAAATGTATTTGCTTTCCTTACTTATAGAGTATTTTTTTCTCTTTCTAATGGTATAAAAAAACTTATTAACGTAAAAAATGGAGTTAGCAGGTTATCACGTTTCACTGACGATATGCACGTCACTGGTGAATATGTCGACACATTTTTAGCATTCAAATAACTATGTCGCATTAATAGTAACTTTTACACTGAAAATTTCATTTGAAACGCTAGAAGTACTTGGAGGAAAATTATAATAAATCGAAAAATTATTAAGATTTTAACACCGTATAGCTACGAAACAAAGCAAAACCGGACCTATGTCCATATGAAAAATAAATCTTATTTTTATGTGAGGAATCTCCCCACGAGAGATGGCACATGTTTTTTGAAACACCCTGTATATTCTATTCTAGAAGTTATGAAGAATCCTTTATTTCAATTGTCCATTCTTAAGGAATTGACTGGAAGTAGAGGACAGGCAAACTGGTTTTTTTTTATTTAAAAATTAGAACCTCCAGGGTAATTTACATGTTTCCAATTTATAGATTGTTATGTATGTGTTTTTGGCACTTATTTTTACTGGTATGTATCACTCGTTATTATATGTATTTGTTAGATTAAATAAGGGTGAAGTGTGAGTGGCTTTATAGCTAACTAACTTTGGTAGACCCCTACTTTTTTGAATAAGAAATTACCATCATAGTTTACATAGAAACAAAAGGAAACTACTTAAATCAGGTATTTTGGAAACGATCTGGCTCAAATACCTGCTTTAAATAAAAGGGTACTGGCTAGCTTTTCTAGTGGTGGTTTTCTTTTAGTAGTGATGGCTATACACTATTCAGAGAAAACTTCTTAGTGACCCTTTATTTGACAACCAGTTTCCTTACTCAGCTTCCTCAGCTACTTAAAGCAAATTAGTGTTTAAGTAAAAAGCCACTAAGAAGTTCCTCAACCCAGGCTTGAGAGTGGCGACAAAATAAGGATAAAATAGGCAATATATTAAACATGCATCATACATCAAAGATTTGCATTATTTGTATAAGTCTAATTTCACAGTACTCTATATAGTACAAAATAAAACTACACAGGTATTAAGTAAAAAATACAACAAAAATGACTATTTTATGAATAAAGCCGCCATTTTGGCTAGTCATCTTAAATGTCCCTTCGAAAAATCATGATATCTATAAATATGGACAATACAAGTTATATCAGTATCAACTTACATGTTTCCTATTTAATGTTAAACACTAAGATCACTTTAAAATACTGTTATCACGTAAATTTTATAACTAAAAACTGACAAACTTAAAACGGACGCCAATAAAATGTGAGAGAGGCAGGGAACGCGGAACGCGGAGCGGAATGCAGGCAACCGGATATACGTCGTAAAAAAATGAAGTTTCCTAGATACCAAATCTGTGGTGAAAAAATATAAAGATATAAAGAAAGATATGAAAGAAATTCGATTAGAAAATAAAATTCCTATTCATTATATTCATACAGATGTGCATACAGAGCTATAGCATGGCTATAGCCTTTACGCTATCACGTAGGTGATAATGTGCGTCTATGAATATTTTTTGCAAATAATTTGAAACAATACTCATAAAGATTTAATTTATTAGGTATCCAAAATTAATAAAAACTATAAAGCTTGTCTCTCATAAAGCTATCAATCGGTTACATCCTTGTTACATCAGAGAAAGTAAAATTAAAACGCAAATAAAGGTTTTTTGCAAATTTTATAAAGTGGGAGGTCGATTTGACAACGTTGCAATCCCAACTTCTGGTATGGAAAAATTTACCAACCCCCACCACTAAATTTTTTGCAACAGCTCCTAAATGTCACTGGCGCAAGCGCAAAAATTCGTTTGTTGGCCGGTCTGGTTGGAGCAAGGTGAGGCACATTGAAATTTTTACAAATTTTACAGATTTTAATAAATATTAGCTAGATATTATTTGATTTCAGAAATATATAATTAGTTTTTGAATCTCAAGCTTAATATTGACGTTTTTATTTGTCTCTAAGAAAGGTCTTTGCATTTTCAGATTACATTTTTTTCTTTTGGTAGCCATTTGGGAATAACTTGGCATACTTTGCTGCAATATGCAGTACAACAACGTATTTCGCAACACCCAAGTGTAAGTATAGTCTAGAAATAGTTTATATACGTTTAGAAACGATTTTAAATCGGTCATTGCCACATTTCACTTTCGGTTGCCATTTTGTTTTTCTTCCCACTTCGGCGGTTTTTTATTGATTACCTAAAATATGTGATTAGGTTTAGACCTCGAACCGATCGCAATGAACATTATGGAAAGCAATCAAATTATTGGAACGGTCCCCCACAACATACGATCGCACCGGTACAAGATTTTGGTGGCCCCAAGCAGAACAACAGAAAATTCAACCGACAATTCAACAATCAACAAATGTCGAAAGTTCATCATCAGCAGCAACACGAAGAAAATGGAGAAGATGACCTTACGGTAAATTCATCAAACTGGACACCTACAGAAATGGTATCCTGTTGAAAATATTTATTCTTTTTCTTATACGAAACTGACTGTTTTTTTTTGTTTTATTTAGGAACCCTTTAAAAAAGACTTCTACGTACCTCACGAAAGCACACAGTCTCGAACACAACAAGATGTCGACAATTATAGAGAAGTCAAGGACATCATAGTACAAGGGAAAGATGTTCCCCATCCAAATTTCTGTTTTGAAGAAAGCAGTTTTCCTGATTACATCATGGAAATTTTAATGAATCAAGGTTTCAACGATCCCACTGCTATTCAGTCTCAAGGATGGCCAGTGGTTCTGAGTGGAAGAGATCTTGTGGGTTAGTAATCAATGTCTTAGTACAAATATTATAAATACTAATTTGGCTTTTTTTATATATAGGTATTGCTCAGACAGGATCTGGTAAAACGTTAGCATACATGTTGCCTGCAACTGTTCACATTAATTCACAGAAAAGGCCACAAAGAGGGGAAGGACCGATTGCACTTATTCTTGCTCCAACCAGGTAATTATTTTGTTTTAACGAAATGTTACAAAAAAACCTATGTAACTCCTATTTATTTTTATTATACAGGGCAACTCAGTGTTTTGAAAAAAATCCATATCAGGTTTTCTATTTGGAAATTTTCACTCCAAGTGACTTTTTAAATATAATTTTAGTTGTAGTTTTTTAAATGAAATGCTGTATATTTTTAGTCAAAGGGAGGACTTGCCTCAAAGTACCTTATTGTCATATACCGAATAGTTTTTGAAATAGGTCAATTTTAAGACTTAAGTTTTCTGTACATTTAGGGCTTTACAAAAATTAAAAAGTAGCAAATTCTCTATTCTTTTATTGGAACTATTTCATACACTGTCCTTTTCAAAAAAATTATTTGTAAACGCACTGTATCTATGGCATTGTACATACAGAGTGAGTCAAAACTAGATGTATTTTTCTCCACTATTATTTAGTGGAGAAAAACGGCATTCTCATTAAAAATAAAGGTGAGTTTCATTAAAGATGCGTATGAGAGTAAAATTTAAGGTTTTTAACATGTTTAACATTTTCTAAAAATAAAGAACGATTTTTAAATTTTAATAAAATCTACCTAAATTGGAATTTACCCAGTATAGCCTAATATATACCTAGTTAAAGGAACTATTGTACTTCAAATCAAATTAAAATTTGACTCAAACAGCTATACAGGGTGAGACAAAATTAATATTGAATATTGGTCACCTTTAAAAGTATATTACTCTTTTATTTTAAATGGGGAATTTGTGTCTCTTTAAAATACTATTAAGGTTGTCTACCTCTGAAACAAAGAATTTTCTAGACCTTTTCATTTTTATAATTTAGTGTCAGTAGATCTTCATTATTTGATAAAATGTAGGTGGCTAAGATATGTCTGATGTTACTTCAACACAGCTGTCAAATTAGTTCAATTTCAACAAGTAGTTATCATTTGTGTGAGTTAAAACAAAAAAAGTTCTCGGAACTTTGCTAAAAATGGAAAGAGAGAATTGATATGATTCTATTAGTTGCTGATTGCAATGTGCATTCACCAATTAATAGAATACTTAAATGCTCCTGATTTAGCTAGTCTGGGCTTATGGGGATATGTTAAAGATATTGTTTACAAAACTCCGCCAACTATTGTCGACGACTTGGTAGAAATGATTGTGGCTGCTTATCAAAGTAGAAGTCCACATATGTCTTTAACATAAAAAGATTGTTTGAAAAGAGAATCATTTTTTGCAGTGATTAGGAAAGGAAGTATTTTGAGGATTTGATTTCATCTAGCTAATTTTTGTCACATGTATATACGTTTATATCTATTTTTACTTCTGTACTAATTAAAATATGTTTTAAACGTATATTTTTTAGTACTGTTAAATATTTTACTCTACGTCCTTTAATTTTTGTTAAATTAACAAAATGTATATCACAGCCACCTAGATTTGGAAAATTAATTAATAAAGACCTAGTGACACAAAATCACAAAAATGAAACTATTTAGGTTAATATTTGACTGAGGGGTAGGCAATCTTAATAGTATTTTGAAGATATTTGAATTCTCCATTGAATATCGGAATAATATACTGGGTGTTCCATTCAAAATTAAGGACTAACTTGCTTTTAAAAGTGACTAATGCTCAATATTAATTTTGTCTCACCATATATTACTTTTCGAATCAACTTTTAATTTGGTTTAACATACAATGGTTATTTTAATTAAATATCAGGCTATACAGGGTAAATTACAATTTAGGTGGCTGTTATTAAAATTTAAAATGTATTCTTAATTTTGACAAAATGACAAAATCTTAATTTTCACAAAATGTGAAATATGTCAAAATCCTTACATTTTAGGGATATGCTTCTTTAATGAAACTCACCCTTTTTTTTCCTAGAATCCGAAAATCAATATAATCTGGGGTGTTCCATTCCAAAAAAAAACAACTTTGATGCGTACGTTTTTTTGGGCAGCTATATACAGGGTGGTCCGAACTGTATTCCGGAAACTTCGGCAGCTTATTCTGCAGATAAAAATAAGTAAAAAAGTTCGTATAAATGTATGTCCTTAAATACTTACTTTCGGAGATACAGGATGTAGAAGTTTCATTTTTATTTCGATTTTTTCCAAATAATTTCTGAAGTAACGTCAATATTTGGATGAAAATTGGTGTCTGTGAGTTTTTTAACATGATAAATTTGATTTTGATGTCAATATGACTCCTACTTGTAGAGGGGGCCACCTACATATTTTTAACTGGTTTGAAGACTAATAACTTTTCGTCCGTACCTGTATAAAACTACTGAGTAAAAAATATGCATTTACATCGTTTTTTACATAAAAAAGGTCGTAAATCGCTACGAGTAATGGTTCTCGAGATATTTGGAATCAAAATTATCAATACCTGTTATTGACATAAAGTAAACATAATATAAGTTGACTAAATAGGTATCAAACTGAAATCATAAATTTGCAAAATGTTTTTGTGTCAAAAGTTCAACAGAAACTGTTTTCTCATCATTTTTTCCCAGAAAAAATTATTAATTTAAAATAAAAATTTCCCAAATTTATTATTTCAGTCAAATAATTATCTACTCAACGTGTTTATTTTTTTTGTCAATAATGACATGTATTGTCTATTTCCATTCTAAATATCTTGAGAACGGTTGCTTGTAGCAATTTTTACCAAGAGACATTTTTTACGTAAAAAATCACGGAAATGCACACTTTTTCACTCAGTAGTTTTATACAGGTACAGATGAAAAGTTATAACTCTTCAAACAAGTTAAAACACATGTAGGTGGCGCCCCCTACAAATAGGAGTTGTATTGACATCCAAATCAAATTTCTAATGTCAAAAAACTCCCCGAGAAAATATATTTTTTTTATTGAAATCTACTTACTACCCCTTTAAATACTTGCTCTTATTTCTGGGACATTCTGTATATATTTATAAAATGCTTTCAATTAACCTACATATGCTGGCAAAATTTAATTTCATTTGTACGTTCTTCTATTTGCAAAAACCATAAGTTATAGACTGTAAAACCTGGGACAGAATAAAATGCTAACACTCCTTGTCTATTTTTGTTAATTATTCATTATTTTTCTTTAGGGAATTGGCCCAGCAAATACAAAAAGTAGCACACGAATTCGGGTCCAACACAATGATTCGTAACACCTGCATCTTTGGCGGCTCTCCAAAAGGGCCCCAAGCCAGAGACCTAGAGCGGGGAGTGGAAATCGTTATCGCAACGCCTGGAAGACTCATTGACTTTTTGGATAAGGGCACGACCAATCTCCAACGATGCACTTACTTGGTTTTGGACGAGGCCGATAGGATGCTGGATATGGGCTTCGAACCTCAAATCAGGAAAATTATCACGCAGATCAGGCCGGACAGGCAGGTGCTCATGTGGTCAGCTACTTGGCCCAAACAAGTACAAGCTCTAGCTGAAGAATTTTTAGTGGATTATGTACAGGTAATTGAAAATCTGTTATAAAGTTATCAGTATTTTTACTAAAAAATGTCTACCTATGTGGCGGATTCATCACTCCAAAAAAATCCTTTATGGGAATTTCGCCACTGCACTGCAAGAAAATCTACAAAATAAAATAGTTATTTTTTGTAAACACTTCTGCGTTAAACCTAAATGGACACTGCTTGTCAGAAGTTATGTTTACAGTTATACAAATTTGCCTAACAAAGAAAAAAAATGCTTAACGTTTTGGAAAGTTTATCTCTTTCCGTCGTCGGAAGCAAAAAAAATACAAATAATAAAGAAAAAAACTATTTAAAATATTTAAATTCAACTATTTGAGAACACTTTCCTTTTTAAAACAGATACGTCTACAAGAAACCGTTGACATTCTGTTAAAAAAAATTGTTAGGCAAATTTGTATAACTGTAAACATAACTTCTGACAAGCAGTGTCCGTTTAGGTTTAACACTGTTTAACGCAGAAGTGTGTAACTCAGACAAGTCCAACAAACCCTCAAAAATTCAAATATATCAAGTGTCAAGTGAAACGTCAGAAGAAACTGACATGGTATTTCCATGACGTCGCTGCCGATTCTAATGCATGAGACTTCCTTGGTCTTATTGTTCAGTGATTGTTATGATTACAAAAAAAACAAAGTCAAAATATAAGTTGACATAAAAGTGACAATAATTCACATTTAACATTTTAAACATATTACATTAAACTCTTTTAGGTTAATATTGGAGGATTGTCATTATCAGCAAACCATAACATAAAGCAAGTGGTTGAAGTATGCGATGACAGCGAAAAGGAAGAGAAGCTCAACAACCTTCTTAAACAAATAGCTTCAGACCGGAACAGCAAAATCATAGTTTTTGTGGAAACCAAGAAGAAGGTTGATGATATAACTAAAGCTATTAAGCGCGAAGGTACTGTTGTATTATTACTTAATGTTATTTTTTTATTCATTTTTAATTTTACAGGATATGCGGCGATCTGTATCCATGGTGACAAGTCACAACCGGAGAGAGACTATGTTTTGAACGAGTTCAGAACTGGAAAGTTTTCGATTTTGGTTGCGACAGATGTGGCTGCCCGTGGTTTAGATGTTGAAGATGTTAAATACGTCATCAACTATGATTACCCCAATTCCAGTGAAGACTATGTTCATCGTATTGGTAAGATTTCTGTCTTAGTATTTATACCTTTATCTTATTTAGTATTCTTTAATAAAAAAATAATGTTATTTAGTTTATTTTTGTAATAAAAAAAAACCCAACATAACATAATGATCTGGAAGCCTGAAATCCTTATATAAATAAAAATTTAGGATATACATTTGTTATTACCATTTTAGACATCAAGAATTTTAGAAAAATCAATAAACGTTCATCAACAACTTCGAAGGTATTACCAAATTAAATTTCTGATAAATAAAAATTCGTTTCAAACTTGAGCGCACTCGTTCCTTTTTCTTATAACCTTATAATATGGTTAACAAAAGACAGCACACTATTGCATTAACTAAACGAATTGGCCGAGAAAAAAAGGTTTTATATTTGTAGTCATGTTGACAGTTCTCATGAGATTTTTCTTTGCAAATCTGCAGTGCAATTCTTTAAACATATTTTCTTTCTAGTGACTTCGTCGACGAATCGTATAAAAAATAGACTTGACAGGAAATTTCTTGCTACCGAGCTTACAGAATCCCACTTCTGATGTTGGTCGTTTTCGATTTTTTTATTATTTTTTTTTAATCTGACTTGTCATTTTCAATATTATTTAGAGTTTTTTTTAGCAAATGTGAACTTAAATCTGCGTTAGTTTTTTTGTGATTTCCATTACAATTAAATGCCAAAATCACTGAATAGTCGGAATTGGCAACTTTTCTGGTCTCTAATCAATTATTTTGAATAGAAAAGAGATCATGGCGACCCCTTTTGTCGTTAAATTGCATTGGGAGGTAAAAAATTGTTCCTTAAGTTTTGCAGCTTTTATTGAAAATAAAGAGATCTCTGGGCGTGTTTCAGCTGCGTTCAATATCAGTTTACGCACTGTGAGTAGAATCATATAAAATAGAGGTAATTAGTAGAATCTCACAAAAAGTGAAGATGAATGTTTACTAATTAGAACTTTACATTTTTCAGTTTTTATTCAAAAAACTTACTAATAACTTACTATTAAAAAAATATTTGTATATGTATTGTATCTAAAATTGAAGTGAAAAATTAGTGAAAAAATTACGAATTTTATTTAACATTTGTCAAAAACCAAAGCAAAGAAAATAGACGTGGCAAGACTACGTCGTGCTTCGTCAAATATTTTGATGGCGGGCACCCCAAATTTTATTTTTCTTATATATAATTTTTGCACATATTAGAGCCCAGTTAGATGTGTTTTATTTTATTCAACTGGGTGTCGGAATTGTGCCAAATAGAATTGGATTGAAGTTTAACTGTTTAATTATTGATATTGAACAGTTTCAGTTAGTCTATACAACTATTTTAAAAAACTAATGGCAATTTTAGATTATTCTGTTTGTTAAATTGAAAAGAAAAAAACTGTAGTGTATTTCTAAAATTTCCAATCTCACACAGTAATTCATGTCCTGACAGCTGTTTTTCTAGATTTATACACTCCTGATAAATCAAATTATAAACTAAGTTTTGTCTAGTAAAGCTTATTTAACTCATTGTCATTGCTTTTCTTTCTTAACAGGAAGAACAGGCAGGTGCCAGCAGGCTGGAACCGCCTACACCTTCTTCACCGCCAACAACCAGAGGCAGGCCAAAGACCTGATCTCCGTACTGGAAGAGGCCGGTCAAACCGTACCTCCCCAACTCCAGGAATTGGCCCAGAGCGCCCGCAACGTCCAGACGGGCAGGTCGCGCTGGAACCAGAGAAATAAGGTTAATAATACAGTTTTTAAAGAGAATTTCTATAGAAATGTAAGTAGTGGTTTTAGAAATAATGTAGTTAACCTATAATGAAAAAAATGTCACATATTGAATGTTTTTCTCTTGTTTGTTTGCAGGATAACTCGTCGCCCAACTCGAACAACTCTGGCAAGATGAATAACTGGCAGAACAAGCCAAACCAGTTCATGGGCAGGAACGAGTTCTACAACAGCAAGCAACAGAACGGAGCTATGCCCGGTGGTGTGAAAAATATGGGACCTAGGGACAATTTCCAGAGAAATCCTCGTTACAACAACAATAATGGTTTTAATCAGTATAATAATTCGCAATACCAAACGTACCAGCAGAGCTACAGTCCTCCGATGTACGGCGCGGGTCAAATGAACGGTCAAGGTATGTCTTTAATTGATTTTAAATATTATAATAATAATGTTGTTGGTAGTCCATTATAATAATTATCCTAGAAAATATATTAAAGAAGTGTTTTTTTAAATGTGTTTAAAACATCATTACTTGTTATAAATATTTATTTTGTTGACAATTGAAATTTCGATTCAAATCGAAAAATAATTAAAAGTTATAAAAAAATTCTTGTCAAGAAATAAAAATATTCTTATATCTGTTCATAAAATAAAATATTATACTTGCGGTAGTATTGTAACGTTCTAATATTCTCAATAAATCGAAAAATAATTGTAAAATCCTAGCTATAGCTCCTAGAATAAAAAACTTGATTATTTCAGGAAAATATTTTAACTTCTATAAGGTGGCTTTAAAAATGTGAGCGTATCACCCTGTATATTATTGCATTTTTGGCTTCCTTTCTTATCACTTAACATAATTCTAAGATATTATGTTTTGATACTTTCAAAGATATAAATAAACAAAAAATATTCATTTTTCAACTTTCCTTAAAAAATTATTACAAATACAAAACCTGTCTTGAACTCAAAACTATATTAGGTATTTACTTCAGATAGTCTATACTTACTTTACCATAAATATTGTAATCTTAAATCATACAGGGTATTCAAAATTCTACGCGAAACTTTCTAAAATATAAAATAATTTTTTCTTTGTTTTTTTTTAACGGAACACCCTGTATATATTTTTTTATTAGATGGAGAATTAAAAAATGAACATTTTTTGTATTTAACGTATTTCAAAATTTTTAATGGTTTTACAGATATGCCGGATTATTTCATAAGGCTCTTTCAACTGTAAAATATGAGAGAAAAATCATTGGGTGGCTTTGACAAAAATTTACTGTGGAAAATGCCATATGAAATATAAAACCGCCAATATCTGCGAAACCGTTAAAAATTTTGTAATATACTCTAAATACAAAAAATGTTCATTTTTTAATTCTCCATCTATTGAAAAAATAATATATAAAGTGTTCTATTTAAAAAAATGAAAAATTATTTTATGTTTTAGAAAGTTCATGTAGAGTTTTGAACATCCTGTCTGTATGATTTACGATTACCATATATTTATATTTATAGGAAAGGAAGTACAGACCATCTGAAGTAATTACCTAATATAGTTTTAATTTCAGGACTGTTTTTTTTAAGTATTTTTTATATTTTTTTACGAAACGTTAAAAAATATATATTTTTCATTTATTTATTAATATCTTTGAAACTATTGAAATATATTTCTCATATCTTAGGATTATGTAAAGTGATCTGAGAGGAATCCAATAATGCAATAATATACAGGGTGTTCCTACATTATTCCGATCCACTCACACTTTTTGAGCCACCCTATAGAAGTTAAAATATTTTACGAGTCGAAAAATTGCATCCTGTTCTTAACTCGATTTCGCTATTCTGAATTTCAGGCCAAAACAACCGCAGCTACGGCAACCAACGCTACAACCAGCAACAGCAGCGCCAGCAACAGTACCAGAACCCCATGCAGTCGGGCTCGTACATCCCCGCGCAGGCGGCGGCCGCCTCCCCCGCCTACATGATGCACGGCGCCGCCCCCGACGGCCTCCAGTCCATCATAAGCCACAAGTTTTTCCAGAGCCGCGGTTTGACGGGCGCCGCCAACCCCTGCGCCTTCCAGCAGAGCCAAGGGGGCCCCTACGGCCAGTACCCGGCCACCCCCGTGGGCTACACCACCTACGCGCCCCAATATTCGGCCCCGCCTACCGCTGCCGTGCAGCAGTAGAGCCCTCTAGAGTCCCTCTGGTGACTTGTTAATGGGGCACAAGGTTTATTTGATTTTTTTTCGAGGTCGTGTCACTTTTTTTTTGGTAACGTTTATTTTTTAGTTTTGTTTTTTAACATTTGAAGGGTACAGGCAGAGAAAGCGATATGTCAAAAATCAGAGTTTTGAAAAAAAAATTATGTATTATATAAACAGGGGGATACATTCTTTAAATACCATAGTTAGGACCAAATATATTATAAGAATATATTGCTAGTAAGAAACAGAAATTGAAGCCCAATTTTTAAGATGGAGCTATACAAAATCACCACCCCCTCCACTTAAGGCTAATCCACATGATATGCGCAAGGCAAATATGGGGGCGAAGGCAGTGCATTTTTAAATTGTTTACCTTTAACCTGAAAAGCCTTACAATAATCAAAAGATAGGTATTAAAGGGTTAACATTTATTGTAGCATGCCTTTTACATGGTCTGTTCCAAATTGTCACGGGAATTATAGAGGGGGTCCCAAGGTTTTTGCTTTTATATTCCCCAAAAATGACGAGCTTCGTAAAAACCGGTTGACAGCTATTAAATGAGATAATTTCTCTCCTACTAGTAGGTCTCGGGTAAGAAGTGCATTAAATATTCCTCAAAAAGGACTACAACTTAAATTATGATTAAATATAGGTATGTGAATTACATTTTTGCGATGAAAAAATTGAAAGGAGTACAACATTTTATGACATAACAGAAAAGGTTGAATGGAAGTGGAGGGGATGGTGGTCAGATGCAGCTAGTGGCAGCGTTCAGCGATGAAGTAGACGAATCAGATCATTCTATTTGGCGCGTTCGCACGAAATTCTGTTGAACCACAAGGATAGACTTATGCAAGATTGATATTTCTATTTAATTTCTTTGGCTTCACTTTCCACTCATTGTGTAAATGCGGTACTAGCAATATATTCTTATAATATGTCTGGTTAGGACGTTGTGCTACAAATAAGTCAATAGTTATTTTTTCAACGCCACTAGGTGATTTAAAAAAGGTATTTTTGACCAGAAATTAAAAACCTGAAAATATTCCTAAGGTCTGTCCTTAAGTACTCAGGTCAGGTCCTCACAATAGGAATTGACCTCAAATCCAAGGATACAATAGAGAAAGAGGGATATATCCTCGTAGATTCGGGACGACACTGGTATCAGTTCTAAGGAGAGACCAAGTTAAAGCGGTGGACAAATATGTCTTTTTTTAGCCTATATAGCAAAGATAAAACAACTGATATCTCCTGACTAATACCTTATTTAGCCCGAACAATTTCTGGAGGATTAATATACACCTTCATCGTGCAGATGGCCTGATTAACTCAATTTCTGCAAAAACTGACTTATCGCCTTCTTTGCCTGTACCCTTCATTTCTTTTCGCGGTGTTTATTATTAATTATGTTTGTACATTATTGATGAACGGTAGTAACGTGAATTTTTCGAAATTCTAAAGTATCATTATTTATTTAAAATTAAAATAAAACATTTTTTTTTCGAATGTTTTCGTTTATATGTTGTTTGAAAACTACTCTCAGTACGGGCAATTATTGTAAAAGAAAATTAGTCTTGATGTTCTTAAATGTATAAGCATTTCATTAAATGTTCTCACGTGAATTTTTCGAAAATCTAAAGTAATCGCATCAAAAACAAAGTCTTTTTAGTTATTCTCAAATGTTTTGAATCGTTTTTTAAGGATTACAGAAATTCAAAATGATTTTTGTGAAAATTGTCGATCTTTCTGTGAAAGAGGGCTTGATTTACAAGAAATATATTCGATAATTTTTTGTTTTAGAAAAAAATATTTTTTCGTAAAGAAAAGGCTGATTTACAAGAACAAATTTTTTGATAATTTTTTAACAAAGTATCTTTTTCAAATATACAAGGTGTGTCGAAAGAAGTTTAGAGCAAATAGGAAAATTTGTTGTAATTGGGTTATAGGGAAAAAAAGAATCAAGTCGCATAAGAGAAAATCATGAAATGATATATTTTCAAAAATTTTCATGATCATAAATGGTATTTTGAAATTTCCTGTATAGTTTTCGAAATTGATACATAAACTCAAATATTGAACAACTTTTATCTTTGACGTTTTTTGACATTTTAGTCAGTTAACTGTAAAGAGGAATTTTGTTATACTGACTTGACACCTTATTAACTGTTTTTGATTACTCTGTATTTTATTTTTATTTTTCAATTTGTAGAAGACTTTTTTCACACCCTGTATAGCAGAGAATTAAAAAAAAATGTGTTATGAAAAGTTGTTAGAGCATCAGCTATACTATTAAATTTTAAAGAAAACTAGCAATTGTATTTTGATTTTTTTATAGAATTCATTATTTTAAATTAAAGTTCTTTTGAATATTACGAATTCTTAATATTCATATTAAATTCTAAGGCAAATTTTAGTTTTATAGAGGCCAAATTTATAAAAATATATGAAAAGAAGTAATATTGGTCATAGATATTGTTAAATATTTATCAAAATATAAATAAACCCTTTGAACTTTTTTTTTAATTAATAGAAATTTAACTATGTATTCATATTTTGAATATTTAATAAACATAATGTACTAATTCCAAAAAAAAATATCACAATATAATTAAGAAAAACACTTTAAATTATCAAAGTTAAGCAATCCAAACATAATATATTATAGTTCAAAGGGTTAATATGATCACACTTATCATTTAAGACTCGTTTTCTTACCTCACATATTTCACATAATTTTTTTTGAACCGTTCACGTTTGCGCTGTTGTATTTTCCGATGTTGAAGGTATGTCTGGATTTTTCGGTACGACTTTATCATAGTACTATCTTAATTATATCTATGTATTTATTTATATCTCTTTCCCCATCAAGGTAAAGAAGAGTACGACTTTTTTCGGACTAAATCCCCATATTTTTTTCTTTTAATTCCTATTATAAACCAGTCTGCCTGTTGATTTTTAATACTCGAATCGGTCCGAAAGAGGTCGTACCGTTTACCTAGTAAAGCGAGATCTGTGGTGATTTCCTTGTGTAAATCTATAGCGTATATATGTGTATAAGCTACAGCTCCCCGCCCTATAGCAACCAGAAAGATTAAAAAAACGAAAGAGAATTATTGTGAAGGACCCGTTCAACCTTTAACATTTCTATCTTAGTGTTTAGAAGGTTCCTGTTCATTTTGTGCTCATTCTCAAGACGACCAGGAACCTTAATTACGTGTGAAGTTATTAGATGTAGTAAACTACCTACCTGTATGCCATTGAAATGCACGAAACGTATAGAAGGGGGGTTTCGGCTGAGTTTCTTGAATAGTATTTAATATTAAAAAAAGATACACAAATTATATATATTATATTGATGCTAAGCGGTACGAAAATACTATACCGGGATCCGATTTATTCCTAATATTTATTGACCCAGAACAGTAAACAAATCCGTTATATACAGGGTGATTGTTTTTAATATTATGAAAAATTTTAAAGACAGAGAAAAACTTCTTTATTTTGATAGGTCATTAAAATTAATGAAAAAATAAAAAATACTCTATGCTTCGGTAAAAAAAAGTTACTGGGTATATGTTTAATAGGAATTATTGTATTCTCTCCAAAGCCACATATCACCAAGTTGATTAACTCTTATAATTTAGGCTGTGGAACTAAAATACTACTGCTATAATTTTTTCATAATATTAAAAAAATCACCTCATATTTTGTTTCGAAAAAGTAACTACTTCATTTTTTTTAATTGTTTGTCAAGCACAGGCGTCTTAAGTGCAGAGGGCTACTACTGGTGTTTAGTTTTGTTGTTACTACTAGGGTACCATTTTTCACATTTTTGACCATTAACGTTGAAAAAACATGGAGGAAAAAAATCCAATAGAGACTAATTCAGTAGTCCAACAGAAATCGTCGAAACAAAAATCCTATAATTTTAAGTGCGAATGAGGAAAAAACTTTTAAAAAAGCATTATATTTCACACAGAAGAGAAGTTCATAATGCCCTCAAAAATGTGCAAGAGAAACCCACTCTAGAACAGGCGATACTGGACGAAGTAGTAGCGAGCAGATTGCAATGCAACGATCCACAAAATGTGGTTCAGCTGCGTTTTGCAGGGATACACTTTCGGGTAGGCATATTCCTCATACATTATGCATCTCAAAACTCCGCGGATTGGTTGATGGAAACGGCACCTAAGCTTAAGAATTGGCAGGTGCCGGGACTGGTTGCAATGAAGGGAGAAAACATCCCTAAAGAGGCGACTATCGCGATCATTTTGCCAAGGAGCAAGGGAGAAGACACCGCCTACCTGCTGAGCTTTATCCAGACTCAGAAGAACATTGAATTGGCGAGTCATCAATTGGAAGGCAGAGGGTTATAATTAACCTCAAATCCAAAGAGGCAATAGAGAGAGATATATATATTTTTTTTCTACGATAGAGAGGGACCAAGAAACAAACAAAATACCTCATCCGAAATAACCAGGACTTTTAATTAAAAAAAAAATCATCCCCACAGCTGTAACCATCTCCACTTCAGACGCTTGTGGATCGATCACTAATTAGTGTCTATATTTTCCCCCATGACAGTCTTAGATATATAGAATTCTTTTTTGACACTTGCATACAGTAGATGTACTGGGTCAATGTTTTCGTATTAGAAAATCTAATTTTTAGCAGTCAAAATTCTGTATTTTCCTATGTAGTTTCGTACGTATATATTTTTTTAGCGTATACTTGAATAATTTTTTTCCGAATAGCTTCAAAAGCAAACTAAATTTGTAACGATTCCTAAAAACACCTAAAACTAAGTTTAGGGATTTTTCGAGATCTGAAAAAAAGTCGTTTTTGAATCGAAATCATTTCAGTTGCGAACGAGGCTGTGCAAGAAATAAAGAAAAAAATATAGATGCTGACTGCGTCGAAAATTAGCCAAAGAGTGTTTCAGATATATTAAGAAAACCTGGATTCGTATGCGAGTGATCTGTTGAATAATATGAATTCCTACAGAAATATTTATATATATTGTCGAGAGTATAATTCAAGCTCCCAATTAGATTTAACCTCCTAATATTTATATAGTGATTTATTTTAGTTTAAAGTCAGTATAGGTTTGCGGTTATGTATGTATCGAGATTTTTTCGAAAATTGTTTGCGTTGAAATTTTTCGAAGCGTTTTTAGTTAATATTCCTATTTTTGAGGTTAAATTGAAAGATATATATGTATAATTAAGAGAAAAACAAAACAAAACGAGGATCTAAAAGAACGACTGCTATAGTGTCATGTAAATATATGTAGCGTTTAATATTTATCTTCTCGTTTGTCGTTTGTAAGCGTGGTGCTAGCCAGCTCACGGTATCATCTGTGATATTTTAGAAAGTAACGAAGAATAAGAGAGAGAAAAAAACAAGGTAGCAAAAGAATAATAACATTAACTGTTCCGAAGCGATTCGAAGGGGCGCGTTAAGTTTTTAACGATTTCTGACATAACTAACATGTGATATTTATATTATTCTCTTTTAAAGACTGAAACAATTACTACTATTTCCTAGATCTACTGCGTATTTTATTTTCCAGATCGAAAATAAGAAGAAACAAACTTAGTATTTAAATTCGAAGGCCGGATTTTCTCTAAAAAGTTACTTTAAAAATTGTTCGCCCATCGTTCAGCTTTACGTCATCAATAGTTGTCAAATATGAGTTTTAGGGTGTGTCTGAGATCGGTTCATATCGTTTAGAAAATTTTAATACGTTCCTATATTATTGATTGAGCGAGTTCCGTTTTTTTTTTCGGTATTTTCTCTTGGACTCTTCATCAGTTACGATCTTTTTAATTCCAGGCCTGTTGAATTTTCTATTTCTAAAGCATCAGCAACTCGCTAATATTATTTAAAACGCTATCATTTTATATTTTATATAGGAATATAATCTTTGCCATTACTTACTTCATATACGGCGTCCACGGGCAAGAGTGTTGTACCAGCATGTCTTTCTCGAGAAAAATAATTATTTATAAGCTTAGCAATGAGTTTTTTTTGTTTTGGTTAAATTTTTGAAGTATTTTTGCTATAAAAAAATTTGAATTTTGTTTTACAGCAACAATCAAATGACAATAACAATTACTAAAAAGAATATGCAGTAATTTACGAAATGCCGTAATGACGTCACCAATCTCTTTCATCTGGTTGTCATATGAAAGAGAGAGTTCGGCAATATATCACGTGACGGTAAACAATTGCTGAACATTCTATAGATATAGAATGTTCAGCCATCGTTACTATCAGTAGTATTTACACTATGTGTGTCAAAGTTTCCTTTTAGAAATTGTCATTTGATTTGGGGTTAGGGCAACGGCCCAGCTACGTCGAAACACCGGTTCCCATTTGAACACCGAAGTTAAGCGACGTAAGGCAATACTAGTGGATGGACGGGTGGCCGGTTCGAAACTCTGTATCGTGCTGTTGTCCAAAAAAAGGCAAAAGTGTAAAATCTGTTGACACACACTGCTCATTCACGCCGGTTCGAGGCCGGATGAGATCTGATATCTCGTGAGTAAGAGTCGATTTAGACACTTGCCAAGTCGGTAGGCCATTGACCATGACATGGCCGAGGACCGCGGTTCGGATTCCGCGTAAACAAAGTAGGCCCCGTCCAGATTAGCCCTGGCAGTAAAAAGGAGACTTTAACTGAAATCTTTACTTTACTTTTTGATTTGGGGTTATAATTTTATTGGACATCGACCAATGTCAAAATTAAAATATATAAACATAAATATGAACTGATCTCAGACACGCCCTAAAACTCATATTTGACAAATAATGATGACATAACGATGAACGATGGCTAAACATTCTGTATCTATCGGGTTTTTATTTAAATTTGTTGTCAAAATTGGCCCCAAAAAACTTCCCTCCTCTTTCACTATCAAGGGGGGCTTTGACTTTGACAGGCAATTTGATGTTAAATTTAAATTGTTATCACCGATTGAAAGCAAAATCAGGGTATTTCTATATGTATAACGACATTTTTGTTTATTTAAAACAGGCGGCCTACGGATCACGTGTACCTAACAAAGTACTAGAAAATTGTTAATAAGCGTACCTCGATATTTTCGGACTAGGTGCATGTCTAGAAACGTGTGTGCACAAAGTAAAGTTTATTATATTATTCTGTGATGTTATCGTTCTTAGGCGCCATAGCACTTGACGATTAACGAACTTTTTTGCGTTTCCTGTTCTCAGATATCTATAACAGTAAAGAAAAAAATACAAAAAGAAATATATATATATAACGGGTACCTATTCGATGACTTTTAATAAAAAAAAAAGTTTTTCTAAAAATGAGCAAATGATAAAAAAGTACCTTATATATTTTCTATCGACAGGAACATTAACGTGGAAACAAAACGTTATTTAATTAATAGAATCGAGAAGTCGCGAAGATTTTTCAAACGCGAGAACTTTCCGACAAAAATACCGAACGGAATAACTTATTTTTTATTCATAGTAACTCTTCTGTAAGTTTCTAAGGAGTGCATTTCTTGTATGTAATACAGTATTATTAATCTAGATGTAATTTTCAATATATATATTCTTTTGTTCTGTTTAGTTTTGTTACTTGATCAATTTGATGTAAAATGGAAGTTTTAAAATCCATTTCATTCGAAATAAAGTCTACTAATATTGGCAATTTTTGTTTTATTTATTATACCGTATGATAGGATCAAAGGATAGGATAAAAACGACGTCCAGTTGGCTTGTAAATGAACATCGATGACATTTCCCATATAATTTTACATATAAAATGACTGCGATCTTCATTTCATAGCCATCGCTGACGCCCCATAACAAGGCATGACCATTAAGGTGCGCCAAAAAATACCATGAAAATATCGTTCAGGATGATGAAAAAAAAATTGGCGCCGGGAGGTACGTATAGCCGCCCATACTAAAATATGTTAATAAAAAGTTGGTAGGCAGTTCTTTTAGTTTCAAAGTAGAGGAATTTTTCCAATTTTGGTCCGCGGTTATTTCCTCTGTCCGCCACCTGGGGTCGCGTCCGATGGGAGATTGAGTTCACACGGATTTTCTCCAAAACGGACTACGGAAACACGGTATATCTCAAAAACTGCGACTGACTGATTTTGATGTTATTACAAATTTTGTTGTAAATATTCCTAATCTTAAATTGAAAAGCGCGTTTCGCTAGCTACTGCAATTTTGGAGTTACGATTTTTTGAAATTTTTAATCCCCTTACCAACCCCCCACCCCAGGGTTCGGAAAACTACACGTTACTTTTAAAAACTACATAAACTACATTACATGTAGTTAATGTAGTTTATGTAGAGGGTGTAGTTTATGTAACCTATGTATGTAACTTTCAAATGTCAAAGGTTTGAGGTGAGGTTATAATAAGTTGAAGCTTTAAAAACACATAATGTATTTAAGAAAACAGGAGAAATATGGCTTTAAATATAATATTTACATCATATTATCTCTATTACACCTCATACAAAGGAAAATTATTCATAATATCAATACATAGTTTATTAACGTAGTTTTCATGTAGTTAATGAATGGGAAAAGACGTAGTTTTTGAAGAAAAACTACACGTAGTTAATCAGGTAAATTACGTCTTAATTAACTACTTCCGAACCCTGCCCCACCCCCACCGAAAACTAATGGCTAGATTCTCGGGTGCCACTGTATTTTTGTGCCAAATTTGGTTAAAATCGGTTTAGCGGTTTTTGAGTTACCGTGTTACACACAGACACCATGAAAATATTTTGTATTTAGGCATTTATGACCCAAATAACTCATTTTGCGTGAAATTATTTTTTTTTACCATACCATACCTGTTGGTACAATTTTTTTGTTTTGGGAATTTTATTGCGTTCTAAAAAAAATCAATATATATTCTTGCAGGAAATTGAACGGTCTTCAAAAAAGGTCTGATATGAATTTTCATTTAATCGACTCGTTTGAAGGTTACTGAAAGTTAAAATTTAACTTCAAATCGTATATGGTAACTCATAATTTTTTATCTTTTTTCACAAAATAATGGCTCAAAAATATAAAATATGATATTTGATGTTTTTGAACCAAGATTTCGTAATAAAATGTGATATTTTAAGTTTTTAAACCATTATTTCGTGATAAAATATAAAAAATTGTTATCAGTTATGTCAGTTATTATATACGATTTGCAATTATTGAAATTTAACCTTCAATAACTTTCAAATGAGTCGATTAAATGAAAACTCATATCAGATCTTTTTTGAAGACTGTTCAATTTCCTACAAGAATGTCTTGATTTTTTTAAGACGCAATAAAATTCCAAAAGAAAAAAAATTGTTTCTCCGTGTTCCTATTTAAATGGGAAATAGAAAATCACTTTGAGATACCTCTGAATATTAATACCGTATGATCGAATAAAAACGGCGTCCAGTTGGCTTGGAAATGACGATCGATGACATTTCCCCATATAAATTTACATATAAAATGACAGCGATCTTCATTTCATAGCCAACGCTGACGCCGTTTTTATTCGATTATACTGTATTTACAGCTGAAACTTTAGCAGAATTTTTTTTCATCATCCTGATCGATATTTTCACGGTAACCAAAAACAAAAAAATATTCGTTTTTTTGGTACACCCTAAACCATACGATTAAAAAAACAGCGTCAGAGATGGCTGGGAAACGAAAATCGCCCTCATTTTATATAGAGAATGTATCGATCGTCATATCCAAGCCAACTAAAGGCCTCTTTTTCTATCGTGCCGTATTTATGATTGTTCACATCTAAATATTTGACCACATTTATTTTGAGAGTTTTAAACACGCTTGAAGCTGGCTTCAAATACGGATAGAAACATGTAGGATTTGGCTTTTAAAACGCGCTTGAACCTTCCAGAACGCTTCAAGTCAATCCCACTTTTTCTGCGATTTACTTGAGTGAAGCTGATGGTTTAGAATCGAATATAATATGGATGTGAAATAAACAGTTGCGGATTAGGATCGAGATTTAAGCCTGCTTTAAGTGGAGTTTGCTTGAAACCACAGCTTGAAACACTCGAAATAAACGTGGTCATTGACTCAAAATTGGTCGATCACGCTTTGTGTTCGTGTTAAAAATTTGCTTTTCGCTTGTCTTGCGCATTTAAAGTAGCAGCATTTGGGAAAAATCGTAAATATAGGCAACGCCGCATGAAATATGCCTCAATTTTAAAATTCCCGCGCTGGTAACCGGAAAAAGCGACATCTACGCGAAACCCCCACCACCAGTATTCCCCTCTTGTCGCAATGCAGCAGCCAATCCGATAAGCAGGATTCTCCCCTCTTTCAAACATATGGGGAAATTTCGTCATCGTTCAATAAATTTTCTCTTCCTCGTTCTCTTTTCCTTTGGACTTCAGGCAGGTAAGATGTGCCAGAAAATTCTAGTCTGTTCTAGAGGTTTCTAACTTGTATTATTTAAGTGATATTTATCTTACATTGTTTAATTTGTTGCTTGGTAGCATCTAAACAAATTGAGACGTTTTTAAACGAATTTTCTTTTCTTTAGGTTTAAAATCTTTTCTGCCTCAGAGGAAATTAGAACATCTATTGAAACATCTTTCGCATTTTCAACAACCAACAAAAGCATTTCAAAATGTAAGTATATATTTTTTGTGTGTATATTATATTCGTACATGTATTAACACTTTAAAAGCTTTATAAAGTAAGGACAATTTAATTTGGGCCAAATCATTTACCGACGCCATTTTGTAAATGACTGGTACTTTTCCGTTCACCTTCCACGTCTATAAATGCTTTAATTATGCGTCTTTTTTATTTAGGTCTTTCAAAAGCAATCGCCCACAACAAAATGGCGGCGGTTTTCGTGGTCGCCAGAACGGATTCCAAAACGGAAACCGTGACGGTGGTTTCAGACAAAGGAACGGTGGCGGCGGCGGAGGCGGATGGGGTGGCAACCAAGGAGGCGGACGTTTCGGCAATTCGGGCCCCGGTGGAAGGCTGCGTCCCGTAGAATGGGGCAACAAGCAATTGCGCCCCTTCAAAAAGGATTTCTACGTCGAACACCCCACCGTTCAAAACCGATCAGAGTTCGAAGTTGGCGAGTACCGTAACTCGAAAAACATTTCCATGGAAGGAGACGCACCCAATCCCATTCAAAGCTTCCACGAAGCCAGTTTTCCCGATTACGTTATGGACGCCATCGTCGCTCAAGGATACGAAATACCCACAGCTATTCAGGCCCAAGGCTGGCCCATCGCCATGAGCGGGCAAAATATGGTTGGAATTGCGCAAACAGGCTCTGGTAAGATATTGATTATTTCTGTTAAATAAGTATGGTTTCCGCGAATATTGATTTATATCCTAGCAAATGATCAATAGAAAGTTTAAGGCAGGAAACGCGCATGTCAGTTTTTTATCGCGCATGGCGAATCTGTTGGCAAAAATTACTTCATAATTCCTTTAAAGCCTAGTTTTCGTGCTTCGGAGGTTTTCTGTCAAAGCACAATATGGCGGCGTCACTAAATTAAAAGATTCTGATCGATTTTGCGAATTTCGAACGCACCTAGAGTATGAACCAACTAAGAAAGTGCCACATGCGTCGTCGTTTAGGCATCGTTTTTCTGTGACGCTCATGCTCATGACATTTTCTTAATTGGTTCGTAGGTATTATACCTACATAAAATGACCAAGAAATCTTTAAAGTAAATTTGGATGCTTGAAAAATAAAAGTATTGATTTAATTGACTGCTATGGAATGTGTAGAGTAAAAATTAATCGGTACCAAAATGTATTAAAAAAAATCGATCATTCCATATTACATGTATTTTTTTGCTCAAAAAACGATCCATATGTATTTTCCTAGTCTATTGCAGAGGCAGCGCCACAAAAATTTCAATGCAATTTTAATCCAAATATTTTAGGAAACAAAAATAATTTAATTATAAATAAATAAACAGTTATTAATTACATCAACAAAACTCACCTTAACAGCACTTAAGGGACATAAAAGGCCACTACTACCGCTTTATCGTTCAAAATATTCTAATAAAGTTGCGATGAGTTTTTTTACGGCTATTAAACTATCTTGTACAGGGTGGGTTAAATTCGACGCTTTTAAATGGAAACTCCCTTTTCTATAGGAGATAGACAAAAACTAATATCGGTGTCTGGAGCTCATTCTGGAGAATTTTCATCAAAAACATGTTGGTGAAAACGGCACATCAATACTATCTGTTACCATTTCGGAGTTACGGGGTGTTTTTCAAAAATGTGCATTTTTAACAAATCGCTGTAACTTTTTTACTATGGAAAATTTTGTATTTCTATGAAAACATTTGGAAATTGCACCTTTTTACGTAGAATTTAATGGTTTAAGTATAATTTTTTTAAAATTAATAATTTAAGAGTTATCAACAGAAAAATTGATTTTTTATTTAGGAGACCCTCTATATTTTTAATTAACTGAAAAGAATTTAAAATTGCCTTTCCAAAAATATAGCACACTTGATATTTTGTTATAATCCCCTTCGAAATACAGAATTTTTAAAAGTTCGCCACTTTAAACTAGTAGTCTTTGTACCACTTATTGAAGATATGCCCTTAATGGAACTCGAAAACATATTTTTCCAGCAAGACGACGCACCGCCTCTGAACGCTGAAGTTATCAGCAAATATTTGCATCAATTTCAAGAATAATTGAATAGCTAACCAAGATCCCAGCCGTGGGCCGTCGAGGCCGCCTGACCTAATGATATGGATCTAATCCTATGGATATATTTGCGGAAGAATAAAGGTTCCTTATTCTTCCGTATAATCTAGACAAGAATTAGAAATACTTAGCAGTTATGAGAGGGTATCTTTCACCCCCATTGAATTAATGAATTCCGCGAGAAATGTTCAAAAACTGCCCCGTCTGTCCATAACGTAAGACAGTCGATATTTCGAACACCTGTAGCAAAATCTCATGTCTTGGTTTGCTATTTATTTTTATTGTTATTAGATATAGTTTAAATAATGTGTTGATGTTGGTTAAATATATTTTAAATTGTTATAAAATTCTGCATCTTTCATAGCAAATATTATTTTCGTTTTAATTGATGATCTCACAGCTAGAATTTTTTTGTATTACAGCCGGTGCCGTTCAAAGCCTACTTATTTAAAGCGGGCGAATTTTTATATACTCTATATGTCTATATCTCAAAGAGGAATCGAGCAAAATAGTGTGTTATATTTTTGGAAAAGTAATTTTAAGTTCTTTTCAATAAATTAAAAATATACAGGGTGTCCCATATAAAAAATCAAATTTTCTGTTGATAATTCTTAAATTATTAATTTTAAAAGAATTATACTTAAACCATTAAATTCTACTTAAAAAGGTGTTTGGAAATGTTTTCATAAAAATACAAAATTTTCCATAGCAAAAAAGTTACAGCGATTTGTTAAAAATGCATATTTTTGAAAAACACCCCGTAACTCCGAAACGGTAACAGATATCGATATGCGGTTTTCACCATCATGTTTTTGACAAAAATTGAGCTCCTGACACCGATATTAGTTTTTGTCTGTCTCCTATAGAAAAGGGTGTTTCCATTTAAAAGCGTCGAATTTGACCCACCCTGTACACTTAGTACTAAAAGAAGTTCTAAAAAGAACAATGTTCGACTGCAAGGTCTGCTAGTAAACATTTTCGAGCTTATTGTATCACAACACTATTTAAACCAGAAACTTGTAATATAAAACTAAAGTGTCAAAAGGAATGAAAATGTCAGGAAATAAATAAATGTGGCAACTTGACATTTTTTACACCAGAGGTACCACCTGAATCGTCAGCGGGAAATGTAAACTCCCATCAGTCAGTTAGGCTGTCGCCGAATATGTCTGTGGTTGGCAACAATGAATTTAAAAATCGCGCCCTCGATTACGTAACTAAAAGTTTGATGTATGAAATATAGTGTATAACTCTTGCTTGGCAGTCAATATTTTAAAAATTATGACGTTATTTTTGCGCAGAAATCGGCTGAAATACGCATAGATAAAAACTAGGCTTAGAACTGACGGGTGCATTCAGTTTTAACAGAACTGTCGTTTTGCCTACACTGGAAAAAATATAAGTAAATTTACAAAAAAAAGATACTTTTAAAGTACATAAAATAATGTACTTTTACAGCTGTACAGAGATATTAATTGGTTACTACCAGATGATAGAGCTTAAGGGCGGCTATTGATTGTTTTGTTAGGAAAAAATCAATTTTTTGCAGTATGAAAATACAAATGATGAGACAAGTAAATGAAAGACGTTGATTATTAATAGCACCCTTTTATCCTCTAAGAAGACCTGATCAAACGTTATTAAAAACAATCTTATTTTATCCAGTATCTCCGTTTTTTTCATTGACAATGTTACTTTCCAGGTAAAACATTGGCATATGTTCTACCCGCCATTGTTCACATCAACAATCAGCCTGAAATTCGACAGGGCGACGGACCGATCGCCTTGATCCTGGCCCCGACCAGAGAATTGGCCCAACAGATCCAGCAAGTGGCCAACGATTTCGGCAAGTCCTCGCACATTCGTAACGTGTGCATCTTCGGCGGGGCTCCTAAATCGCCCCAGGCGCGAGAAATGGAAAGGGGCGTTGAGATTTGCATCGCCACTCCAGGTAGACTGATTGATTTCCTGGAAAGGGGAACCACAAACTTGGAGCGGTGCACCTATTTGGTTTTGGACGAAGCCGACAGGATGTTGGACATGGGTTTCGAACCTCAAATCAGGAAAATTATCGGTCAGATCAGGCCGGACAGGCAAACTCTGATGTGGTCGGCGACGTGGCCCAAAGAGGTCAAGAAGTTGGCTTCTGATTACATGAAATCTTATGTACAGTTGAACGTTGGTTCCTTACAACTATCTGCCAATCATAACATTTTGCAAATCGTTGACGTATGTCAAGAACATGAAAAGGAAAGGAAGTAAGTTAAAAAATTTTACCCCATTAATAATTAGGTCATTCCCATTCTGATATCTTTATTCCGGTATTTTGACATTCAATAGAAAGATGCTAGATATATTTATTACATTTTTATCCAAAAATTACTTTATTCGATATTGTGTTATCATAGATTAACTTACAGATGTGGCACTTATTTCGTTTTGCTGATAAACACCGCCATAATCTCGGACCTTTAATAGGGTTATGTCGCTGTCAGACTTCGTTCTTTTTCTCGCATGCATTTTTGCTTTTTGTAAAAAAATGTATAGTAATCGCAAAAAAAATTCTGATGCACCTAATCAACTTTGAGTGACAAGCGATGGTAACAGCGCTGCCAGATTGTGATGGATTTATTAGATGAATCTTAATATTTTAGTAATTAATTTATTTGTTTTATAGCTTATTTTACTTTTTAATAGCTCTTTAACATTAACAGCTTGTGAAACTGCACTCACAGTAGAAAAATTTAAATTTAAGACAGCTACTTGCTACAAATAGAAATAAGCAAAAATAACTTTGAAAGTGGTATAATATGCTTACCAAACTTCTCTGACTGTAGTCGAGGGTAATAAAGGAGCTTTATTGTCGCGTTATTGTTTAAAATAGTTTATCAGGGAAGCTAAAAGCTCTTTGCTTTGGCATATTTTTAACACACAATTTCAAGAAATGCAACATAAAAATTCGAAAATTTAGTTCTTAAAAGAACTGTTTGTGCTTAAAAGTACCATTTTTTAAAAAAGGCTATAAAAATCGGCAAAAAAAATCGACAATTACTCACAAAGATTCAACAACACAATATTATACTAAATAATGACTGACATGATAAATCGTTAAATAATAAACGACAACGTTGAACACGGCGCAACGTGGCCAACCTGGCGATAATAAAATTCGGTTTAAACGAGTTTTTGCAGCTTTAATCTAAATAAAATATCTGTTACAACTATTTGCTCTTTAAAGTAAAATGAAAAGCTGTTCGGGATCTTAAATTATACAACAAATTTTAACATCTTTATCAAAATTTCATTTAGTCAGATTTATAGGCTGTAGTGTCAATTTTGATATGATTGATGACGTGACGTGCATCGGAATATGTTTTGCGGTTAGGTCTGTGAAACAGCTTTTTTGTAGCGATTCATCATACGCGTGCGCTTTGTATTTGGTCCCTTTAAGTAGGATATTTAAAAGGACCGAATGCATCCTTCTTTTATCTAGTTTCCTTGTTGTACTGGATAAATCTATGTTATTTTCAATTGTTTCTATTTTATTGAGATTCATACAGACAACTATCATACAGTCGAAAAAGGGCGTCGTGTTAGTCTTGAAATGATAATTTGATCTTTAACTGTCATTTATTGAAAATTGATATACAGGATGTGCCTAAAAGTTTGCAACAAATGAGAACTAATAAGTTGTTTAAAAAAAGTTTATGCGGAATTTCTTAATAATTAATTATATGATGAGAAAAGTAAATGAATATATATGATTATTCTAATTACACCCTTTACCTCTAAGAAGACCTGACCTTTTTTTAAACCCGTTTTATAATTTTAGTTTGCGCAATTAGCAATCTAACTGTTTTTCTTTTTGTCCTCTACCAGATTGAACACGCTTTTGCAAGAAATTGGGGGCAACAACGAGGCAATAGAAAAAATAATCATTTTCGTTGAGACCAAGAAGAAAGTAGAGGGAATCACTGAAACCATCAGAAGGTTCGGTTGGCCGGCAGTGTGCATGCATGGAGACAAAAGCCAACAGGAACGCGACTACGTTCTGAGGGAGTTCAGAAATGGCAAGGCCACCATTTTGGTTGCCACCGATGTAGCCGCCAGAGGATTAGGTAAGCTTTAAAAAAGCTGTTATTTAACATTTTCAAGATCCTAAGTTTAAAATTGTGATTTTTGAGATTCAACGAGTAACTGAAACTGTTTTGAACGAAAGTTTTTTATTAGTAGCATCAATTTAGGATTTTCCAGACTGTAAATCTGTATTTAATACAGTAGTATATATTTGAGTTAATAATACTTTTAATTAAAAAAAAACTACTAAGACTTGTATTTTATAAAAACTTTTATGATATATTCTAGTTTAGTTAGTTTTAGTAGATAGGGTATTATTATATTAAGACACAGGGTGATATTAAGCCCTGCATTTGTTTTAAGATTTTTTTATTAAGTTTAGTTCAAGCAGGGTTTAATGTCTCCCTGAAATGGCATTTAATTTTAATTGACAGTTTTTGAATAATTTTATATTAATCAGTCTGGTTGTCCTTTTTTGTTTCAGAGGCACAAGCAGGATAGCATTTAATTATGTCAATTGTTGTGTTCTAAAAAACGAAAGATATGTTGTGTAAGGATACAATATGTCTTGCGGGTGCCTCTTGTATTTAAGACCAGTGGAAGATAGTGACATCGTCATTTGTTGTTTGTTGGCAAGATTAACCCGAGTTACCGACGTCCTACTCTATCCCAAGTCCTATTCCCTGATATTACTTCCCTGAAATCCCTTGTAATCTTTGCTCGAAAAAAAAATTGGATATATGAGGACAGAGATTATTCGCCGAAGGGATAACTTGTTAACTCGGAGCCATTCATTCAAAGATTGATATTGTCTTCCTTTTGGTCGGATCTGCTGATGTGTTTGAGTAGACCAAACAAAAGATTAGTCTGTGACAAGACGATGTAATTTAAAATGAGTAAGAGCGTGGTCCACTGAAGCAAATGCAGATTCTGCTACTAATTATAAAGTTACTCTATTAATTGAATCTAGGCCACGATTCGCAACTTGTTGGATCTTCGTTGTACACTTGGTTAGTATCATTGTTTCTTTATTATACTTTAATATTTCTTGTTTTTGTTGCATGCTTTTTAATATTAATTTTTGGTTAAAAGTCCAGAATAATCGATAAAATATTGGTTTTTGTGATTTGGAGGGAGGTATTACAGGTTTATATTAAAAGTTTAGGGATATTTAAAGAAACGTTAAGATATTTAACTTTAATTTTTTAGTTTTTAGATAAAAACTAGTTTGTCCATTATATGTTTAACACATAATAATTTGAAATTGCTGCAGTATAGCTTATAATTGGTTTGTTACTACTAGCGTATATAATTACTTGCTAGTGAAGAACTGTTTAATTGTTTTATCAAGGAATGCTGCACAAATAACTGCTTCTCAAACCTATTTCTTCAGATTTCCTAAGATTCACAATATTTTTACTAATTCAAGTCCTGACATAGTTTTCTTTCTTCAATTACGTTGGTTTGGCCTCTAATGCATGGATATACAAATGGTGATAGGTTCCATTTTTTAGACTTTTTATTCATTGATCTTGGCAGACTTTTATAATAATCAATAACTATCACTGTAAAAAATATTTTTTCTCGGTTTACCAGCAACTTATCAATATCATTTCATATTTTGGACATTCTTTGTGTTTTCTAACTTAAATACATGTAAACCGTAAGTTAACTTTTCCATTTTTTTGAATAAAAATTAACATCGGTGTTGGGGAACGACTCTAAAAACCGTATCGCTTGATTTTGCTTCTAACCAATCGTCGCTCTTGCTTTTACACACCGATTCAACTATCGTTTTGCTCTAGACGTTGAAGGTATCAAGTACGTCGTTAACTACGACTATCCCAATTCCTCCGAAGACTACATCCACAGGATAGGAAGGACTGGTCGATCTGACACGACAGGAACCTCTTACGCTTTCTTCACACCATCCAATTCCAAACAGGCGCGAGACCTGGTTTCAGTATTAAAGGAAGCTAACCAAGTAAGTCTAACTTTTTTATTTTGATCTATTTTTACACATGACATTTGAATGACAGATAAACTATAGAGAAGTAAATACCGTATGTCAAAAAAAAACGGCGTCACAGACGGCTGGGTAATAACAATCGATGGTAATTTTGGTGAGGTCAATCGCTAGAATCGTTTACTAAAAAACTTACATTTACTTAAAAATTAACACCAACGATAGAGAGATTAAAAATGGATAGAACGTTTCAAGACAAATCTATTTCCAAAAAAAATTTCTTGAATTTTAAAGTACACAATATGTTCTACTCATTATAAAAATAAATTACAACCTTCTTAAGGGCAATTGGTAGAAGGCGCCATTAAAAAATAAAGGAGGGTACACACCGAGTGAATGACGTCTAGAGCTTGACCTTACCAAAATTATCGATTGTCACTCCCCAATCGTCTTAGACATTTTTTTTTCGATCATAGGGCATAGGATATGCAATCCAGAAAATAAAGAGAAAGTCTGCTAGTTGTTGTGCGTTAAATCCAGACGTCATTTATAACCCTAGATCATATATACTACCATATCAACGACTTCCATTTATCTTCTTTTTTTTTTTGTTGCACACGCGGTGCTTCTACTCTATCTATCCTTGTCGACCTATCGTCCACGTGCCAAATTTGAACGTTAATTTTAAAAATTTAATTTGTAACATGCCTATATTTGAACAATAAATTGAATGTTTATTTACTGTCACAAAAATTAAATTATATAAAAAATACATTTAGCCACTCTGTATGAATATCAATATTCTTTGGAAATCTAACCAGAAAGTATGCATGTGGTTTAATATAAATAAAAGAACAACTGAATACTTTACTTGCCTATGAAAAGATAATTCCGGGACATTTATATTAGAACTTCTAATACAAATGTCCCGACACCAAACACTTTCTAGCCATTTTAGAAAGTCCAACGAAAAAAAAATAGAAATATAATTGCACAAACTTAAAATTATTTCTCATTGAACACACTTGCATCCTTAGATATATAAAAGCGGTCGATAAAAGAGTAATTAATATCAATTTTTAAAATAAAAAAACCCAAAAAACAAGCGTCGTTACACAATGGAAATAAGATTATTAAAAATAAGTTTCCATAACAATGTATAATTTGTACATTCGAAACCGTATAAAATTGTGATTATTTTGGAAATACGTGCGACTTTTAATGCGCATGCGCAAAGTAAGGTCCTCGGAAAAGACAAACTTATTGAACGTTTCATAACGTAATAAAGGTTTGAAAATGGCATGTCGTGATGTTGGAGACATATTTTTTAATGCTAAACTTATGGCGTTGATTTATCCACGTAGGTATATATATGATCTAGATTTGTAGCTATTGCGCTGATCTTGACGCAATGTATTTTCGATATACGGGGGTAGTGTGAAAAGTTTGGTTTGGTTCTACCCTCACAACGCCATAAAACTTTCTAATTTATTTTTTTATGGGTACCTTTGTAGAGATATGAAATCGTAAACTTTTCAACCCTCATATTCATAGACTCTCTCAAAGGTCTCTTAAATTATTACAATGTTTTTGATAATTCCTTTCAAATTGGCATGCCTCCGCCGAAATCATTAGCAGAGCATGAATGCTATTGAAAGGAAGATAGATTTGGGAAATATGCCTTCGGTGTCCACACGTTTAACAGTCTGGATCCCATCCTCAAGTTTCCCTACAGTTATTTTTATTATTTTTTTAAATCGTTAAAAATTCCTTAAAACAGTTATTTTATTTATTTCTCCTTTTATTCTAGGAGGTTAACCCAAAATTGCAAGAAATGGCTTCACGGTTTGGCGGTTTCGGTGGCGGCAAGGGCAACAACAAATGGGGCTACGGGGGCGGATTCAAAGGAAGGGAGAACGGTCCCCCCAGACAGCACACTAGATTCAGTGGAAACGGCGGCGGATATGGAAAAATGAATGGTAATAGCAACTGATATGGCAAAAGCAACGGTAAATTTCGCTTTTCATTATAATTATCAGCTGATTTATTTAATTATTTCTGTGTCTTGATAATTTGAATGAAAGCTAGATAGGAAAATGTGCTAATTCCGTGTTTGTTTGATTGCAGGTTATTAAGCAGACAGTCGTCAGTTCAATTCGCACGGATTCTCCAGTATTTTAATTCTAACAATTCCACTTAGTAAGGAAAAAATAGAGTTGCAATGTTTTTTTTTCTACTTCAACGTATATGTTCTTAAATAAATGTTCCATTAATTTATTTATAATGATGAAAAGCAAACTTATCTGATCATATTTATGTTTGTAACTGTGATAAAATAGGTTTCTTAGGTAGATGTTTAAAAATGAGATAATCTTGAAAAGATATTTCGACAAAAATAGAGTTTTTCGTTTAGTTTTTATATTTTTTTTCTTTATGTCGAAGGTGTACTTCGAATTTTTTCACTGTGAATAATATATATCGATGTTGATATATGTGTCAGCTATATCCTGAGAAGTTGATGTGTCGGACAAGACAGACCTTCATGTACAATTTTATCTTCTCTAAATAAAAATGTTTTTATAGAAAACTGGCTTTTATTTTAATATCGCGGTCGCAAGGTTCGCGGATTTTTTTTTATTTGATATATTTGATACACACGTTTACCATGCACCAAAATGCTTATTTTGACAAACTAAAAAATTGTTTTATTTCTTAATTTCCTAATGATTTCCAAACAACAGTCACCACATATTTTAGCGCTTTGACACTAATAAACTGAGTTTAATTTTTTTAAGCAAAAATTATGCGTCGGACGAAAAAAATCAAGAGAAAAAATGTTTAGAAATGAAAGGAGATTTTGAAAATATTTTTCATTTTAAGAGAAGTCAGTGGTGTACCACTTTTTTCTTCAAAACTATTCAATGTAAAACCCGTATGGACGAAAAAGGGATTTTGATGCATAGAAGACATGTATCAAGTTTTATAAAGATATCTGAAATAAATCAGAGTTATTATGAAAAAAGGTTTTTTACAAAAATTTACCACCCTGTATCTCGGAAATTATGTTTAGGATATACATACATATGAAGTTTTTCTCTTAGAATAGGTCCAAGAATCACACTCTTAAATATTAGCATGTCATATAAGGAACACCCTGCATAAAGCTCGACCAATGTACAGGGTGGACCATTTTGGTTGTTTCTATAGAGGGTATCTAGGAAACCGTGAGAAATATTCAAATTTTGATACTGCAGTCGCGGATTCTTTTTTTGAAAAAATTAAATGGCGTAAACGGATCGTGGCTATCTTGATCGGTTTAGAAGCTACAGGGGAATTCTCAAATTTTGTACTTTTTGAAGATGTTCGATAGTTTGTTTATTTTAGTAACCACGGAAAAATGAATTATGCATTGTAAAGGCACTTTTCTGTGTAGAATGCAGTGGCGTAGTCAGACTTTTTTTCGAAAAAATATTTTTTGAGATATTAACTATACTTATATTTTTTTAAATAGAACCCCCTATATATTTTTAAATTTTCTTATTCGCCTTGGCATGGGCTTCTCGAAAATACATAACACTCTATATTTATTTTCACTACCTATTAACCTCAATATTTCAAATTTTTTCTTTAAATATCCACTTAGTAGATAGGCCGCGCCGAGTAACAAAGTAAACGGTTGTCATGGTGATTGGAACATACCTTTGATGGATGCGGGACATTTCATTTCAACAGATTGAAGTGTGTGTATTTTAAAAAATAAAAAATGAGTAAATTTGAAAATTTTGAGAAATATAATACGTTAGAATGTTACATTGTGTCTAACAAACATAAGCAAATCGCAGCTGATTTATATTTTGAGCGGTATCAAGAGCGCGAGCAACCAAACCCAGCCATTTTTAAAAGGTTAGAAGATAGTTTAATCAAATTTTGGATCTTTTCAAAAACCGCGTCCGAAAAATTATCAGAAAGAAGATGAAGAAAATCAATATATTAATGTCCTCGGAGCCGAATACATGAATTAGCAATTATATAATAACACATAACATAATGAAACCGATCAAGATAGCCACGATCCGTTTGCGCCTTTGTATTTTTTTCAATAAAAGAACCCGAGACTGCAATATCAAAATTTGAATATTTCTCACGGTTTCCTAGATACCCTATAGAAACAACCAAGATGGTCCACCCTGTACACACATTAAACAATTGAAATTGAATTTAATTATTATTTGAATAGATTTACTGAGAATTTTAATTTATTATAGGAGATCTCAGTAACTTTAAATAAAAACGCATTACAATATTTTGAAGGGATGCGACGCATCACCCGCATCAGTGGAGGCTTAGCCCGCTGCTGCAGGCTACCCATAAAACAATAAATAATAGTTTAATTATGTTATGAGAATAAATATGTGCTTGCACAATAAGATATTCGAATTCGTTCAGACGTACATAATGTAAATATAAGATTTCGTGGTGTCATATCTCCACCAAGATACCAAACGGCACAATTTCGTAAGTGTTTATATTTATAATATATATTTTATTTATAATATACAGGGTGGTCCGAACTGTATTCCGGAAACTTCGGCAGCATATTCTGCAGATAAAAATAAGTAAAAAAGTTCGTATAAATTTATGTCCTAAAATGCTTAGTTCGGAGATACAGGGTGTAGAAATTTAATTTTTATTTCGATTTTTTCCAAATAATTTCTGAAGTAAAGTCAATATTTGAATGAAAATTGGTGTCTGGGAGTTTTTTAACATGAGAAATTTGATTTTGATGTCAATATGGCTCCTACTAGAAGAGGGCGCCACCTACATATTTTTTAAGCGGTTTGAAGAGTAATAATTTTTCGTCCGCAACTGTATAAAACTACTGAGTAAAAAAATATACATTTACGACGTTTTTTACGTAAAAAAAATCTCTTGGTAAAAATCGCTGCGAGTAATGGTTTTCGAGATATTTGGAATCAAAATTATTAATAGGTACCTGTCATCATTGACATTAATTAAACATATACAAGGTGGCGCACCTCATTCGCCTCGGTTGATTATACGAAAACGGAAAGATGTAGAAACAAAATATTTTATGGGTATATGTGGGGAGTCAATGTGCACAATTTAAAATTATTTTGAAATATACAGGGTGTCCCAGAACTAAGATCCATACCAAAGTTATATTTTTTCTTATGGAACACCCGGTATTTTATTTCATTTTTGGATTCTTGGACCCAAAAAAGACATTTATTATAAGGGTTAAATATGTTTAAAATCATTGTTTTTTGAGATATTTAAAGATATTTAAATATGCATGCTACAAGAGAATTGATTATTAAGACCCTAAAATGATAAAAAGGCCCCCATCTCCAAAAATATACCCAATATTGACAAAAAAAAACAGATTAAGGTTCATTCCGCCTAGCATAAATGTTAATTTACCATATAATGATTAAGGACTATTCCGTAATATTACGCGACGTGTTGAATAAATGAGCAAGTGTGCTGTTATATAAATATGGTTTTGTTTTAAAGTTTGTGCTATCTACAAAAAATCTACAAATCTACTAATCTTACCATCAAAGTATATGGTATCACATTCGGTAGGTGGATTGTAAAAATGGCAAGTAAAATATTTTGGAAACACAAATTTCGTTGTCAACTAAAGTGTTGTTAAAATCAGTCCAGTTTAAAAAAGTTTCTTCCTACTTAACACTGCGAATAATTTGCCATGCTAGATTCTTGTTTTAGATTTTTTTCTACCCAACGTAATAGATTTTAATGGAGGATGTTAGGCTAGATAATATTTATTTGATCTCTACCTAGAACAAATAGCATTTAATATTAAATAAATCATATAAAATAAATTATTAAAGCGAATTAAAGCGGACTTTAAAAGCGATATACATTAGTGATGGGAACTATCGAATGAATTAGACTATCGAATGGTTACTGAATGAATGATTTCAACTATCGAATGGTTTTATTCGAATAAAATCATTCATTCATTTGTATACTAAAGCATATGTGACAACCTCGCCGTGCGACTAAATGGTTATTGTTGAGCCACGACTATCGAATGCTTTTGATAAATGAAATTTAGTATTCGTTTGATTTTTGTATGCGTCAGTGCATTATTAGTTCTTCCAAATTTTTATAACTTCGCCTTATAAATACTGTGCTATTTTTGCGTTTATTAAAATATTTAAAATTCCAAAATAGTAGTTTTTTTTAATTGACGATTGTGTGCGTGTGCAGGTGGTCAAAATTTTTCCGAAAATTTGTGTGATTTTCCGTAGTCCGATCTTTCAATTATTTAATTTTATAATATGGTATATGGTCTATTTTTTAATGGGAAATTTTGAGAAGTAGCAATTTTTAAGAGAGATGAGATGAACTTACAATTAATTTTAAAAATACATATTTGTATTTTAGATGTTTTAGTAATATGAATTAGTTGAACTTAATAATCATATTTAAGTAATGTGGTTAAGTAAATGGGGGGTGGGGGGTTATCGAACTCGAACTATGGTGTGAGAAAATTAAATTGTTAAAAGTTTTACAAGTGCCAATTTAAAAAAAAAAAGTTAACGATGTTCGTATTTTGTTGAGATTGTTTATGCTAATTCTCTTACATGTAGTTTTTTGCAGAAGAAATATTTTATTTATTTTTTAAAGTAAATACTTACTTAAAAAAAAATATTAAATGATTTTAAATTTTGTTGTTAATAGGTACAACAATTTTATTTATTACTGTTATTATTTTTTTAAATAAACCAGTCTTAGCATAAAAATATTAAAAATAATTTTCCTACATCCAAAATAAAAAGTATTATTGCAGCGTAACAACAGAATATTAATAAAAAAATGCAAAATATATAGACATACAATCCCTAACTAACTAAAGCCAAAAAACAATATTCTTTGCTAATATCAACTAATACCAATATATGGCAACAGCGCCCTTCATATTGTATTTTTCTGTGTAAATACTAGCACCTAAATAAAAAAAATAATGTGTCCTTATCTTTACTCCGCAAAAAATCAAAGATGCCGGCTTCTTTCATAGCATTGCCACCGACCGCTGTCCGGTTTCTCGGAAAGAAACCTACGTCGCCGGGCGACAACTAAAATCCAGTTAATATTTTATTATAATCGATCCTGACGAATAAATGAATTTTATAAATGAATGGTTTTTGCTGCCGAATTACTAGAATACAATATTTCAAGGCAGATGACGCATCTATTCGATAATTTTTATTCGAATAGTTTTCAACGAATGTTTTCTTACTAGCTATCGAATTATTCGAATGAATTGCAACTATCGAATATTTCGATAGTATTCATTCGATAGTTCCCACTACTAATATACATACATATTTATGTATATCTATGTTTTTATTCAACTGTAGTCATATAATGTAAGTATTATTGGTTTTAAGTTAATTCAATTTTAACAATGTTCCATGCTTATTAGGCTTTGTAACAATACTTTGTTCTAGTTAGAGATCAAATAAATATTATCTAGCCTAACATCATCAATTAAAATCGATTACGTTGGGTATAAAAGAATCTAAAAAAAATATT